AATGATTTTTTTTTAAAATAATTTTATTCGCGTCACGGCACAATAATTGATGGCCAGACAGTTTAATATCTGTAATCTATTAAAAAAAAGACTATTAACAGGAAGGGATTGAGGAGTGGAGGGCAGTGGAGTGGACGAGAGAGACAACTGATAATAGAGAGGGGGCAAAAAAACCTCCAAACAATGGCTGCAATCGCAAAAGATGGTACAGTAAAGTACGGAATCATAGGAGTGGGAATGATGGGAAGAGAGCACCTCATAAATCTCTACCACCTTCGCAGTCAAAACGCTGTCGTTGTTGCCATAGCTGATCCTCATGTTCCCTCTCAACAACTCGCTCTTGAATTAGCCCAATCATTTGGTTGGCCTCTCCAGGTATCAAAATCAATGATCATGCTTCATCGTTTTTGTTTGTTTGGACTACCATTGAAGTGACTTAGAATTGAATTGAAGGTATTTTCAGGGCACCAAGAGTTACTGGACAGCGGGCTTTGTGATGTGGTAGCTGTGTCCAGTCCAAACATGACTCACTATCAAATACTCATGGACATCATTAACCACCCAAAACCCCATCATGTACTAGTGGAGAAGCCGTTGTGCACCACTGTTGTTGACTGCAAGAAGGTGGTCGATGCTGCTAGAAGGAGGCCAGACGTGCTTGTGCAAGTTGGACTCGAGTATAGATACATGCCACCAGTTGCTAAATTGATTGAAATTGTCAAGGGTGGGTCTCTTGGTCAAGTTAAAATGGTGGCAATCAGGGAACATCGGTTTCCTTTTCTGGTCAAGGTAAATTACTCGACTAACATTTTGAAGTTATCGTTGTGGTAATTCACTGTTTTTCACTAATGCTTTTAATTAGGTTAACAATTGGAACCGGTTCAATGCCAACACCGGGGGAACTCTGGTGGAGAAGTGCTGCCATTTCTTTGATTTGATGAAGCTGTTCGCGGGTGCGAATCCTGTTCGAGTTTTGGCTTCTGGAGCTATGGATGTTAATCACAAGGATGAAATATATGATGGGAAGGTAAGTTCGTGTTGGTGGTAATTTGACAAAGATATCGTAATTCACATGCCATAATTGAATAAAAAGTTGAGATGCTATTTGTGGATTTGTGTTTTATGAGAGGTTATAATGTTACAGGACTTATAAATGCAATTCTATCGAGCTCTCTTTAGTTTTCATCCAAATGCTTAAGTAATCCCCAAAAATTTTGTATATCTTAGCTTTCTCGGGTATGACTACACCATGTTGACTTTGTTTTACTGAGAGTTTCAGTCCAACATGGAGTGGAACTTAGTCTTAGACTGGGGCTTCGGTGGCTGTCAGGAAAGAGCTTTGACTATGGCATGATTATACAATTTGCTCGTTTTTGATTTTGGAGCACTTGGAAGTTGGTAGAATGAAGATTGATTTGCTGAGTGCATATGTCTTGTTTGCGAGAATCCAGGAGTTATACTCCAACTAGTTCCATAATCTTGTTGTAGAATTTTATTTTTTTTTGCTATTATATGATATCTAAGAATGGCATTGCAATGGTGGCTAATCTCTCCTGTGGATTTATTGTACAATAAAAGAAATATGAATTTCAGGTAGTTGATGTTGAAGTTGTCCAATTGACAAACACTTCGACTTATTTAGCTGTGCCCTCGAGCCCAATAAACTTTGCAATGTACAGACAGAGATTCATTACTAAAAGTCTTGGTTAGGCTACTGAAGGGCTATGGCTGTATGATTATGGTCCATGGGCTTAAGTATGTCATAACATTTTGAAACTTCAACCCATAAAACACAGTTTCATGATTTATAATCTGATAGATGAGCCTTGGAAATAGATCTTTGGTCACATTCTGCAACAAAATGTTGATGATGTAATTGCTTGTGCTCTGGGTTCCATTTGATTAGGACTAGTCGGTCAAAAGATACCCTGGCTGTATTTTGCTGAATGAAGGGAAAAAAGGCTTTTCTGAATTTGCGTATCTCAAATGATGTTGGAATACAAGAAAGACTTTGCTATATGTGTATCTGTATTGACATTCAAATCGCCTTTTATCTTCAGATCATGTTGGAGTTCGTCAGCTATTTTTGTAAGCTCATTGAATTCTATCTAATTGAATTGAGGGTTCTATTTATGTGTGAGTATTGATAGTTTCTTAAGTTCGGTGATTATTGATAGTTCGAGCTCTGCATCACTTGATCTTCACTCGTGAAATCTAATTATTTTAAAACCTTTTGAGCTGTAGATAACCCTATGTTCCATTGACAATCTTGCTTTGGTTCAGGTACCAGATATAATTGACAATGCATATGTTATTGTTGAGTTTGACAATGGCTCTCGAGGGATGCTTGACCTTTGCATGTTTGCTGAAGGCAGTAAAAACGAGCAAGAAATATCTGTTGTTGGTGATATTGGAAAGGTAGATCCCTCCACCCACACAGGCACACATGTGCTTTAGCAGTATACATGCAAGTGAATGCTGAACCTGCTTCATCTTTGTTTTCAATTGCCATCTCTCTCATATATAGGCAGCCACCTCTTTTTCTGCTTTGTATTGTTTGGATGATTCCAATATAAATGACATATTCAATTGTATTGTTGTTTTAATTTTAACATCTACAGTTCCATTTACTGAATTTTCCAATATGCTGCTCCATTCTTGGGCATGTTTGCATGTCCTACCACTCATTTTGTTCAAACTGTGTGTTTTTAATAGGGAGAGGCCTTTGTTCCAGAGAGTATTGTGCGTTTTGGTACTCGTGTGGCAGGAAGAGATGGTGTACAAATATTGAAAGCTGAGGATGATCGAATTAAGTAAATTGCCTTTTAAGTCTATATGTGAAATGGATTGTTTATATCTGCGAATATAGATAGGCTTCCTTTTCAGTGTGATTCTGAATGAACTTGTTTTTCAGATATACTGGGTTGCATCATGGATCTAGCTACTTGGAACACCTTAACTTCTTGTCTGCAATTCGAGCAAAAGGTGAAAAAGCTCCTGCAGTGAATTTGCAAGATGGGTTGGTTTCAGTGGCTATTGGGGTTGCAGCACAGCTTTCTATTGCGAAGGGCCAATTTGTTACAATTCAGGAAGTCATGGATGAACATTATGGTTAAGCAATTATGCAAGTCTTGCCTTTGGCAACACTGCTACTTCTTGTTTTATTGTCCTTCATTGTTCTTCAATATATCTTCATCCAAGTATAGGGAAAAAAGAAAAAAGAAAAAAAGGCATCCTGTAAGAAGACCCCAAAAAAAAAAAAAAAAAACTGCCGTTTCTGTACAAAACCAGTTTGTCTTTCTTATCCACCAGCCTTCATTTCTCTACTGTCAAAATACCTGCCGCTCCTGTATAAAACCATTTTGCCTTCCTTATCCGCCAACCTTCATTTTCTCTACTGTTGTTTTCCTGCATAATGACATACTTCACAAGCGACAAGTAGTTTTGTGGATGCCAGTATTTAATCAACCATGAATGAGTGAATTGCTTGTGCTGGCCAAGCTTTAGGCTACAAATCCTTTTTGTGTGAACTTCATGCATGTTCTGATCTTTATTAAATTAATTCATCGCATCAAATGCGTAAAAAAAAGAGAGAAAGAACGCAACGGACTCAATATTCTCCTATAAAAATCAGAGTTAAGGAACCAATTAGTTGATGTAATTACAGAGATATTCAAGCTGGTGCCGGAGCTTGGAGACAAACCCAAGAGACGATAAGAGCATAAACAACTCTAACTAGGGAAAAAAAAGAAGAAGAAGGGTAAGTAGGTTAATTTAACCCAGTGGACTCAATATTCTCCTATAAAAAACAGAGTTAGGGAACCACTTAGTTGATGTAATTACAGAGATATTCAAGCTGGTACCAGAGCCTGGAGACAAACCCAAGAGACTATAAGAGCATAAACAACTCTAACTAGAAGAAAATAAAAAGGGTAAGTAGGTTAATTTTTTTTTTTTTTTTATGTAATAGGTTTTTTTTTTTTAAATTCCATTTATTGTCTCTTAATATTATTTTAGTCTCTAATTTATTCTTTCAATTAATTTTTCCGACAAATGATAATTTTTTTTTTTTTGATAAAAATGCTCCTAATTAACTAAGATGAAAAAAGAAGAAGGAAAAATACTTAAAATCACGTGATTTATATGTTTTATTTTTAAAATTTTTTTTTAATTAGTAATATTTTGATCAAAAAATTTAGCCATGATCGGAATATTTCAATCAATAATATTTTGATGAAAAAATTTATTTAGAATTAAAAAAATTGATCAAAAGAACAAATTAAAAATTTAAATGTTATTCAAAAACATGATAGAATTAAAAATATAAAGACAGGTTATTATTTAAGAAAAAATTGAATTATTTGTCCAAAAAGAAATCCTTTTTTATCAAAACGTACTGATTAAGAATTTCTGCACCAGATTTAAAAGAATTGTCAAAATGAAATATCGTTGGAAAAGGAATTTCTCTAATTGAATTCTCCAGTACGCCAACCTAGTGAAATCATAGCATAATATACAGGGTATTTCCAATCTTTAGAATTCCAATCATAAGACAATAAGTAAAGGCAACACCATCAGTTTATATTATTTTGAAATCCAATCACAAATCCGACCACCCGTGCAAGCGCCGGTAGGAAACCATTGTACTCATAATCTTTATCTCATCACACATCATATATATGAGTATTGTATCTCTTTTTGACAATAAAATCAATCACGTATTATTAAACAAATTCTGGAAATAGATTCCCCATTTCCCCTTGCCCAAGTCACAAAATCCTATCACGGATTATTAAACAAATTCTGGAAATAGATTCCTCATTTCCCCTTACCCAAGTCACAAAATCCTATAAAAATCCTGGAAATAGATTATCACGGATTATTAAACAAATTCTGGAAATAGATTCCTCATTTCCCCTTAACCAAGTCACAAAATCCTATAAAAATCACACGCTTAGAACTTTCAAGCTAAGTCCTAAGCTCTTCAAAAATCAAAATCCATGTCGTCTATCATAATTTTCCTGTTCCTACTCTTTATTATTGCGGGTCCCATCCCTTCGATAGCCAAAAACCCCCATGTCATTCATTTTCGATCTCTCAACCTCTACCCTGAAGGCCTTGCCTACGACCCCTCCACCCAAAACTTCATCGTCAGCTCTCTTTACCACAGTACTCTTCACTCAGTCTCCGAAGCCGGCGTCATCGAAACCCTCATCTCCGACCCCTCCCTCCCTCCTAACATCACCTTCCTCGGCCTCGCTGTTGATAAGCTCAACAACCGCCTCCTCGCTGCCATCAACTCCGCCTCTTCCCTCTCTCCCTTCAATGCCCTCGCCGCTTACGACCTCAGCTCCCGCCAGCGGGTCTTCCTCTCCCTCCTCCCCTCTACCCCCTCCGATGACAACCGCCGCCCCGTGGCCAACGCCGTCACCGTCGATTTCAAGGGCAACGCTTACGTCACCAACTCGCTAGGATATCCCGAGGGGAACTTCATTTGGAAAGTCAACCCGGAAGGGGAAGCCTCGATTTTCTCGAGAGCTCCACTTTTCACGCAGTTTCCGGTGGACCGCGACGCACCGTATAGTTACTCCGGGCTGAATGGGATTGCTTACGTCAGCAACCGGTATTTGTTGGTGGTGCAATCCAATACGGGCAAGTTGTTCAAAGTTGATGCCCACGACGGGACGGCAAGCAATGTTTTGTTGGGCGAGGATTTGCCGTTCGCCGATGGGATTGCGATAAGGGGAGACGGTGTCCTTTTGGTAGTGTCGCATAAGAAGCTGTGGTTCTTGAAAAGTGACGACAGTTGGGAACATGGGGTAGTTTATGACAAAACTGACCTTGATGTGGAGAAGTTTGCTACTTCAGTTGTGGTTGGGAGAGAGGATAGGGTGTATGTGATATATGGGAGTGTGATGGAGGGTAAAAGGGGGAGGGAGTGGTTTGCTATAGCAGAGGTGAGGTCTGAGAAGGAGAGTGAAGATGATAAGAAGACCAACTGATTTTGCTTTTGCTTTTTCTTACCAGTAGGAACGAGGAACTGTGTGTTTCTTTGCATGTTACATAACGGTAATTGACAAGCTTCTCTGTTGTTGACGCTTATGCTTATTCCAAGTTCAAATTTTTTGGCAATCAATGTTGATGAATGACGTGGGGTTTTGTTGGTGCAATTACTGTTTCTTTCTTGCTAATTGTTAGGTAATTGGGCAAAGGATTAGAAAGGAGATCGGGTTAATGAGCTTGGGCTCTTTATACTATTGATTTTGTTTCTATGAGGTGCTTTATTTTTGAAATTTTTTAGCTCGTACACATTCTTTGGAGTGCGCACGCTATTTTATATTTGAAAAAAAAATTAAAAAAATGATAAATAGATAAGTAAATTAGAAAAACTAAAAAAAATTATTATTTTTAAATAAGTACTGGTGATGATTCTTTCTCTTTATGTAAAATTAATCATTTTGGAAATTAAAAACATAAGATTAGTAATATAATCAATTCACATTAAAAAAGAAAAGAAAAGAAAAGGAAGCTAAATTAACATTAAAAAACACATATCCAGCTTCCCTCATTTATTTCGTGAAAACCAAATTATCACAAACCATAATCCAATTTATTAAGTATTTAGTTTTATACTATCCATTTTTTTTTTAATGTGGTTTTCAACTCTCTTTACCGTTTGAGTTTTTACAGGGATGGTGAATTGATGATGGAAGAATCTGCTATGGCTGTGTTGACAACTGAAATTTTATTTTGGATTTAATTGAATTTGTTATAGAGTTTTTTCAAACAAATTTATTTTTTTTGGAAACAAAATTTTTATATATTTGTTATGAAGATGCTGTGATGATGAAGGGGTTGAAGTGGTGAGGTTTTATTTTATTTTTTGATTTAATTGGGTCTTTTGTCTCTTTTTTCTATAATTTAAAAAGAGAAATTATAAATGAAGGAAAGTTAGAGTTGGCCAGGCTTACTTTTTTTTTTTAATTTGTTAAATTTTCTTATTTTTTATTTGTCCTTATTTTTTAAAAAAACTTTATTATTTTTATGAGGTTTTCAAATATAATAGAGTATATTTCAAAAAATATTCCAAATTTAATAATCATATAATGCCGTTAATAACGAAAGGGCCTAGCTAACGGTATAGACGGATTAATAATACAAGGATGGATTGGAAAGTTTCAAGGAAATGGGACGTCATTAAAAGGAGATTAATAGTACGAACACCTTCAAGCTCATTAAACCAAAGGAGATCAAAGGGGGGGGCACAAAATTGGTTCTGTTTCCCTTTCTGTTTTCTTTATTTTTACGAATATAATTGCACAATCAAGTAGAAATGGATGAGCTTCTCCGCCTTACGTTCTGTTAGCTAGTTATTATATATCTTGCAGTATATTCTTGTTCACATGCTTATACCTGTGAACGCATTTTTCATGGGAAATTTATATCTGCAATTCTTATTAATTTACGCTAAAACAACCATTACACGAGAAATACACGGAGATTGGTTCGGTCCATCATGCTAATTTATTTTTATTATTATTGCACGCAAAATTCAAGTATTTTACAACTAGCAGAGCTTCAGCTGGCTCATAATCTGGTCAGGGACTTATTTTTCCCATGGGCCTGGCAACAGAGTGCATGGCCTTAGGCTCTCCCGTCAATTGTTTTTCCGATTCGAAGAAAGATAAAAAAAAAGGAAAGGAAAGGAGGGGTATGCCGGTAGCGGCCTGGCAACGTAGCTTACCCGCTGGTGCACATTTTAAGCACAGTGCGCATCCCCCGCTTCAAATAGCACTTGCAAGAGCCACTTGTATAAATAGCGCACGCGTTAGCGCGCATTTGTTAACACTCTCACTCACATCGAAGCAAAATGGAAGTCGATACAGGAGAGAAATCAAGCATTGTGATCGGCCTCATAGAGAACAGAGCCAAAGAGGTATGGTACGCTCTCCGTTTGTTTGCCGAGAAAACGTGCGAAACCAAAGGAAAATTAGTGAAACTTTTAGTAGTTATAACAGTAAAACTCATTATTTCGTTTACATCCATTCATTTACTTTAGAATCTGAACTAAGATAGTAGTATTAAAATTTGAAAATTCTGCTTCATTTCATCTCCTCTTCGATTTAATTAGCACCAGAACTGATAGTTGAAATTTCAGCTCGCTGAATCTTAAATGTGAATTCCGTTCCTGATGTTTTTATAGGCCAGATTACTCTTTATTTAAAAGAAAATAAAATAATTAAAAAAATACAAGTAAAAGAAAAGGAAGGAAAAAAAGCTTATTATGCTTGTAATGCCTAACAATTTGATGGTTCTTTGAGCTTCTAGAATCGGAAATCGCGATCATTTGAATTTTTCAAATTAATAAGATAAATTTGATCTTAGATTCTCGAACTAAAATGTTTTAGTTATAAGAAATTAATTGTTTCTTTCAAATATTTGGCTATGTAAATATGACTCTAAAGTTGAAATTAGCACCAGAACTGATAGTTGAAATTTCAGCTCGCTGAATCTTAAATGTGAATTCCGTTCCTGATGTTTTTATAGGCCAGATTACTCTTTATTTAAAAGAAAATAAAATAATTAAAAAAATATAAGTAAAAGAAAAGGAAGGAAAAAAAAAAAAGAAGCTTATTATGCTTGTAATTCCTAACAATTTGATGGTTCTTTGTGCTTCTAGAATCGGAAATTGCGATCATTTGAATTTTTCAAATTAATAAGATAAATTTGATCTTAGATTCTCGAACTAAAATGTTTTAGTTATAAGAAATTAATTGTTTCTTTCAAATATTTGGCTATGTAAATATGACTCTAAAGTTGCTGGCAATTTGATAACATGAAAACTGAAATTGAAATTTTTTGAAAAGTCTCAGTTTCTTTTATGCGTTGAATAAATTGATATTGTTGATTGGCAGGTTGGAATGGCTGCTTTTGATTTAAGGGCAGCCTCACTGCATCTTTCTCAGTATATTGAAACTAGCAGCTCCTATCAGAACACAAAAACTTTGCTCCAATTTTATGATCCTGTGGGGGTCATTGTTCCTCCAAACAAATTTGCACCTGATGGTATGCTCGGAGTTTCAGAGCTGGTCGATCGATATTATGCCTCGGTCAAGAAGGTCAATGTTGTTAACAAAATAGAATTTATTAATAACTGCTTCCCTTGTCTCTGTTCATGCACCAATTTCATGGTATTATGTGCTGGATTTTGTAGGTTGTAGTGGCCCGTGGTTGCTTTGATGACACCAAGGTTGTAACCCAGGAACATCTCATTCTTTAACCGGTGTTTTACTTCTAGGTACTGGTGCTTGAATATCTGATTAAATGCTTTTGTCACAATACGTTCCAGGGTGCTGTACTGGTTAAAAATCTAGCAGCCAGAGAGCCGTCAGCTCTTGGTTTGGATACTTACTACAAGCAATACTATCTCTGCCTGGCTGCTGCTGCAGCTACAATCAAGTGGTACTCTCAGAACTTTGGCTTGCCTCGAATTTAACTGGAAGAAAAGGTTTTAATCTTAGATTTAGTTCATATTCCATGATGCCATGCTTGAGGCTATATCTTAAGTAATTAGTCATTAACTACACAAATCAAGTAAAAAGCTTCTCAATAGTTTGGTAAATAATTGAGGGTTGTTATGTTGGAATTTTCATATTTGAGAACCAAGTTTTTGTTGAAAAGCTAAAGAAGCTGTACTGTTTGATGTACTTTATATGGTAAGTGGTAACAATGTGTTTATCCATACAACTGTGTAGTGTTCTTTAAGATGTCAGTCCATCTCTTTGTAGGTAGTGCCTGTTAACATTTTGACTTGGTTTACAAGGCTTTTTGTCATTGAATAAGCAGCCTAATAACTTCTGTATTTTCATTGGTTATATGGTAATTGGTGGGATCGGCATATTCCACAGTCCACTTCATCTCTTCAGCCCTAATAGTTGAAGCTTATTTGCATATCAGTTGAAGATGTGCCATCAGATATCCTTAGCCACAGGGGTGTTGGATGTAGGGACCAAATGTGACAAGGTGTTGGCACTGGACTCATGCTGAACCATTTCTAATTCTCGTAGAAGTGAATTACTCTTGAATCCACGTGAAAGCATGTGCAAGTAAATGTCATATTTTACTGGATTCTGAGTGAAAATGGGAAGAAACCTCCAATTTTGCAGATCCAAGTGGCATTGTTGTTACCAAATTGCGATTATCTGCTTTTGAGAATACTTTACTTGACTGACATAAATACTTCATGCTCAGTAACTGGAGGCAAAATGCACATGTTGGACCAGGGCGAGTGGCATCCATAATTTCAAAAATTATGCACTCCATGTTTCTTCAAGCCCTTTTCACTTTATTAAATCATCATACTGACCACATTAGTCATTTCAAGTTTGCCTAAAGTTTCTGAATACAAACATGCATTTGTTTACACGTTACAGTTATAGTTTTTTCATATTCTTCATTCATTATTCTGCTTCTAAAAAAAAGTTTCAACTCCATCATACACAGGATAGAAGCAGAGAAAGGAGTCATCATCACCAACCACTCATTGTTGGTATATGCTCTCTCTCTCTGCTGGGACCTTTCTCTCTCTTTTGAAATGCATATATGATCAAATGTAAGAATTTGTGGAGTGTTTACAGGCTGGATGCAAGCCTTTACAACTTTTTGCTCTATTGTTTTAGATCTTTGATCCTATTGCTCCCGTATCTTCGATACATTTTTGGGCATTTCTTTTTATGTTGCAGAGCATACCTTCTTTGATCCATCAATTCCCTTTGTGCAGTTAATGTAGGTATTGGATTTATTTAGTCCACTTTTTCTGTCATGATAGTGATGGACTTGTTTTGTACCTTTCTTATGCTATGGTGGTTTCTTCTGCTATCTATGTCAAATGAATCAGAGTTGCACTCAGCTGTTTTATTCTTAGTTTAGTGTGCAAATAATCCAATAGCAGTGATACATTTTAGGATTTTTTTTTTTTTTTTTTAATGAAATGTACTTCAAATCATGAAACAAAGTTATTGAGACTTTGTTTTTGTTAATAGGATTTCCTTGACATCTGTGAGAAATCAATCATCTCAAATTTTTTCATTCTATGAATATATAATGATGGCCGAATACAATTGTACTAACAATTGAATGGCTACAATGCATCACATCATTTTTTTTTCTTTGACATAGAATCTGTTTGTGTGTTTACAGTTTACCCTCTTTTTGCTTGAGAACACTTCTGAACTTGACTGATGGAATTCTCACTATCCCTAGGTTACTTTTAATGGATCATTCGATCACATGAGTATTGATGCCACTAGGTGAGTTTCCTTTCTTTTCTGGATGTCTGGGTAAATTCCAGTGTATATATAAAATAGAATAAGCTTTGGATTAATATTTTTTTTTATTTCCATTATAGTGACAGTTTTTGGATAGATTTCTAGATGAAATCTAAACTAAATTTCGGTTTGCTTACAAATTCTTTTTTTGCTAGAAAATAAGTCATTGAATCTTATTGCAGCGTCCAAAATTTAGAAATCATCGAGCCATTTCATTCTACTCTCTTGGGAACAACCAACAAGAGAAGAAGTCTATTCCACATGCTCAAGACAACGAAAACCACAGGAGGGTACGTGAATAAGCATGCTACTTGGTATATTCAGCATGTGATCACATAAGTGGAGTACTTAAGCATGGAAAAAAAGTTGAGAACTCTTCAATATTTACAAGTTCATATTCTGTATCCAACAAGAGGTTTTGGATGTGGCCAGTTTGTTTTTTCCATTTCCATACAAGTTTAGAAACTGATAAGAATTTGAATATATCTCCAGGACTAGACTTCTACGGGCCAATCTGTTGCAGCCTTTAAAAGATATCGAGACTATCAATACTCGACTTGATTGCTTGGTTAGTGTATTTGGTTAACTCAGATGATTTCTCTAGTGGAGCTATGTTAATTTCATGCGGCCCTGGGCTTGCAACTAAAATGGTGCTGGTTTGTTCAGACTGTAATTGGTTAATGTTTATGTATATGTGCACGTATTGTGTGTGTAAGAAGAAAAAGATGCACCTATTTTTCAATCATTTGAAGTTATTTTCACAAGCCTTTGTAGTCAGTCTCTGTTATTCACATCTACATAATACTTGTTAGGGTGCAAACTGGCAAAATGCACTATAATTGTCTAACAAGTGTAGGTTACACATGGATTTTGTTTGGATAGGTATGGATGTGAATCTTTGGTTGGTGGGCTGTGGTTATAATGAAAAAAAAATTATGTGTGAAAATGAAAATGATATAACAAGTTATTCTGTCCACAAGGTACACAGTTCTGCTTATTGCTGTTTTAGTGATGTCCATACGGTCAGTTAATTTAAAATACAGAGCTTCAACTTGAGTATATATTTTGGACAGCTTCTGGGTAATTGCATCACTCAAAATTATTATCAAAGTTCACTCATGTCGAGGTCCAAAAATCACCAGCATCATTGTGCTAATGATCTCAATTGAATTCTGTTGGTTGGTCATCTAAGTTTCCGTTCCAAAACATTACCTAGCAAGCCTGTGTTTGGAAATACATAAATCTTAAAATTTATATGGTAAACTATTCGTGCATCATTTCTTTGAATTTTGCGCAGCACAGCTTGCTACACTTCTGTTCTAATCCCTCACATGATGCATCTCTTTGTATTTGATTTCAGGATGAACTAATGAGCAATGAGCAGCTTTTTTTGGACTCTCTCAGGCTCTGCGTAAGTTTCCAAAAGAGACTGGTAAGCAAAAAGAAAAATAAGATGCAAAAGTGATCTGTTGTCTGCCAGTCTCCTCCTCTTTGGTGGTCTTCTGGATGTTAGTCCATTTGATGTTGTCAGTCTTGGAGTGATCTTGTTCATGTTCTTCATTCAGATAGGGTACTCTGTCACTTCTGCTTTAAACCTAAGAAAGTCACTAATGAGGTCTTGGGTGCTGATAATGCTCGAAGAAGCCAAGTTCTGATATCAAGCATTATTCTACTTAAAACTGCTTTAGATGCCTTACCTTTACTCTCAAAGGTACATTGCGTGCTTTCACATTTATATATGAACCCAAACGTGTTTCGATATCTCTGCACTTTTTAAACATTTCAGGTACTCAAGGATGCAAAAGCTTTCTTCTTGCAAATGTTTACAAGACTATATGTGAAAACGAGAAGTATAATTCCATTAGAAAGAGGTATGTTGCTAGCATGTTCCTGTCGATGAACTGTATTTTTTTTTTCCACAGTACATAAGTAGTGCCCGAGGCAGTGCAAAAGTATTCCATCTAGTTATTGGTTCCCTAGATTCTAGTTGGCTAATCATTTTGAGCTTCAATACAAGGGATATTTGTGCCCATAACCCCATCTCAAGTGTGAGGACAGCATAATCTGCTACTTTAGCACATTTTAGGTGTTTCAAGGTTCAGAATATTGCATTTCAACTTTTGTGAAATATTTTTGCCCATATCGCATCCCTTACCTGAGGGAAATGCATCCACTAGTTTAGCTCATTTTAATTGTTTGAAGATTCAGAGTAATGCAATTCAGCTTTGGTGTTATTTGCAAACATTTCTTATTTTTTCCTTTGTTGAATTATTGAGGTGCATTGTTTTTTTCTGTATTTCTTGGATTTTTATTCGGGTTTTTAAATTTCCCTCCCTCATACAAGCTTAAGTATAATACCGATTCTGCCATTCGCTGTCTTTCTCATGTTTTATTATTTAACCTCACTGGGTGAGGAGGTTTATTCCAGGTCAGATACTATGTTTGGTCTCTTAAGAAAGCAACTGATTTGTTTGTTTATGCCCATGTGGCTAGCATATGATGCTTTGCACTGCAAATGAAAACTAGAGGGGGATATGGACCTAGGTTGAGGGAAATGAAGGAAAATGATAATAGTGATGGTAATGGCATAGAGTTGATAAGTGCTATTGGGTGTTGTAAAAGCTTTCACTATTTGATTCAGTTGGTGATAAACCACTCTTGGAGTTAAAATATAATGTTAAAGTAATCACCATTATGGCATTTAATTTGCAGGAGATCTTGTTTTTAGTTTGTAATGTACCATAAAAATATACATTATAATGTCTTTTACAGTTTAATCCAATGGTCAATCTTTGTTAAACCTTGTGTAAGTACAAACTACTTGATTCATTTTCTTAAAAAGCTTTATTTTTTCAAGAGTGGGAGAGGTGATTGATGAAGATGTGCTTCACGCACGGGTTCCTTTTGTTGCTCGAACACAGCAGTGTTTTGCTGTCAAGGCTGGAATTGATGGACTTTTGGATATTGCACGGAGAACATTTTGTGATACCAGTGAAGGTTTACCATATAGGTTTCTGTTCCCTTAATTCTCTTTTTGTCCTTTTCCTTCATCTCTTGTTTTCATTGTTGTTTCCATGGGCAGCAATACATAATCTTGCAAATAGGTATCGAGAAGAATTTAAGCTGCCAAATCTGAAGCTTCCATTTAACAGTAAACAAGGCTTTTACTTTAGCATTCCACAGAAAGACATCCAGGGAAAGCTTCCAAGCAAGTTCATTCAGGTCGGCCATAAGATTCCTCCTCTAGTCATCATAGTAAAAATCTCCTTACTAATTAATTTTGACATGCAGTTGCTTTTGACACATGAATCAGGTCCTGAAACATGGGAACAATACACATTGCTCAACTTTAGAACTTGCTTCGGTTAGTATAATCCTTGTATAACCAACTTCATACTCATGTACATGATCTGTGACCAGATGTGAAAGTCTGTAATTCCATGTTACAATATTATGCAAGGAGAAATGATATTACTGTTATTTTAGCATGATATCACCCCAATACCCGGCACATTATGGTAAGGTTCAAGTGTATTCATGTGTGGCCTTGTTTTCTTGATGGAATGAATAGATCTCAATCTGGTGTTTATGTGGCCTAATGATAGTTGCCCATGCCAAATAATTTTGTGCTTAGCTGGAAATGTCTTATAATTGTTATGCAGTAAATATCAAGATAACAACACATATACTGAGTCTAAGAACCTCAATTCAGGTTATTGTCCTTTTTTGGCAGTTATGACAATTTTTTGGGTGCAAATTTTGCATGAAATTGTTATCAATGCAACCATAATGATGTTGAGGAGATGTGTGTTACAAAGGAAGTTAATTGTACCAATGGAATCATTTATAAGAGACCAACTCAAGTGCAAATGTTAGATTTTCCTCCAGTACAAGTGCAGCTTGTCACTTGTTCATCTCTATTTTCTTACCACATTTATAATATTCTATGGGTAAGTTTCATCAACAATTTATACCTGAATTTTACTTTACTAAGACCTGAGCTATGAACATGAATAGAACTTTAAAGCAATGTTGGTCATTTTTTCTGCATGATTGTAATCTTCTCATTACAGAATCTTGTGTTCATGTCATTCGATTGTTCTTATGTATGTACTACTGTATGTTCAGTCTTCCTGCCTGAGCCTGGAAATTTCTCATTGAGTTTGCTTCATGGTGTGAAATGTGCAGCTGAACGTGAGAAACAAGTCTGCTGCTGCAGAGTGCTGTATAAGAACAGAAGTTTGCCTTGAAGGTTGTAATAGATATCTTTTAAGTATTCAAATATTGATAAATAAATTATATCTTGGTCTTACAAGCTTCAAATGTTTACTTATGCTCTATCTCTGGATGGAGTATATTGTGCCTTTTTGGGTTAGTATTAACCTGGTGAAGAGTATTTTGTGAAATTTAAGTGACAACTAATTCATTTTAAGTGATAGAATTGGTGCAAAGATCTACTTTACAATTTCCATTAATATGTGGGAATATGGTCTGTTATTATGCTTCTCTACTAAAGGTTTCTTTTGATTAATTTTATTTTCTGCTGTTATATGGTAAAGGTCTCTACGTGCCTTGTGTAAGGGTTGTGGATGTAAGAGGTTTATGACCATTATTTTTAGCAGGCTGCCGATTTTCCATGGCAGAGCTTTTGCTTCTTAATTGGATTTAACAATAATTAAATGAATGTGCAATGTGTCAGTTTATCATTTTACCATAGCATTAAGGCTCTTACTTTGCAAATTATTAGAAAATCTCAAAACATTTGAACACTACTTCCATATTCCAGAAAATATAAGAGATGAATGTATTTGCTTAATGTTGCTTTGATTTTGTAATATATATTGGTGTTAATGTTCTTATTTGGTGCTTAAATTGTAAATGTTCAATTATAAGGTACCTATTTCAGGGGAAGGACCATGAGCATCTCTCATGTATGGCTTGCTTGTCGTAGAGGGAATCTAGAACCAGTCATGTTGACTGCCAACTATAAGATTATTTTTCAGCTGTCTTTGTCTTTCCCTTCATAGAACTTCTACTCATATATACCATGCTCTCTACATTAGTTATGCTGATGATAATGCTTTTTTTATTACTTATATAATTGTACTTGATCTGCAGCCTTACTAAACGCCATAAGAGAGGACGTTTCTGCACTAACTCTGCTTGCGGAGGTCTTATGCCTTCTAGATATGATCGTTAATTCATTTGCTTACACAATCTCAACTAAGCCTGTAGATAGATATACCAGACCAGAATTTACAAGTAAGTGATTTAATGTTTTGTAGCATATATCTTTGACTATCAGTTGAATTTTGGGGTGTGGCTGATCATGTCCTTTGCTGACAGATAATGGCCCATTGGCAATTGATGCTGGAAGACACCCTATACTGGAAAACATACACGAGGATTTTGTTGTAAGTAACTGCTTTATTTTTTGTTGGTTGTTTGATTGCTTGTGTTTTCTGACATATGAAAACTTTGGCAACTTTTTATTGCCCTAATTTTCTTGTCTTTCTGTCCTTCACAATTGATGCATAGTTCTTTCTGCAGCCCAACAATATCTTTATTTCAGAAGCATCAAACTTGGTAATTGTCATGGGCCCAAACATGTAAGACATGCTCTCATTTAAAGTTGCTCCAGCTTCTAGTTGGAAGGCTATTATTCATTGCATCCGTTTCTTCTAAGCTTATTCTTGGTAGTAGTTTGAAGATTGTAGATGCAGGTTCAGGTTCCGATACATGATGCTTAAACCTTGTGTGTTTGGTGCTTTAGTAATCTCCTCTATTTAATCTGGAACATGAAAATTTGAAAAGACCCCACTTCAAATGTCCTGGAAGCTTAGGATAATGCCTCAAGGATTACAGTTTTTATTTGCCTCATTGTTGTTAAATGTCTATAGCAAAACAGAAAAATATTGGGTGTAGTTCTGTTATATCTAGTCTTGAGGTTAATTTCAAGTAAACCATCTGAAAGGATCGTATTGAAAAATGGCCTTCAATGAACCTATCATAATCAATGGATAACTGCGCATAAAAAACAGCAGGTGGATTGTGTTTATACAATTGAATGGTGGCTTTTATCTAAAGCATTCAGTTTCAGCATAGGCTGCATAGGTTTGGCTGAATGTAAGCTGCATTCTGTTCTTCAGTTTTGAAGCACAAAGTTCTTTCATTGTTTATTTGGATCAGCCTCCAATCAAAACGTTACACTTGACACTTATAGGTATATATATTGCTCTACTTTAATAATCTACAATTCCCTTTAGGAGTGGGAAGAGCACTTATCTTCAACAAGTGTGTCTCGTAGTTATTCTTGCTCAGATCGGTTGTTATGTTCCTGCTCGCTTTTCAACCATAAGGGTAGTTGATCGCATATTTACAAGGATGGGTTCAGTGGATAATCTTGAATCAAACTCCAGTACGGTACAATTTCCAAACTTGAGCTCTTTCAGCAGTTGTATCATGTAGGTCAAACTATAGAAAGCAAAATTTTCTTCATACACATGCCTCTTTCCCAACCTCAAATGTGAGAGGAAAGAGAAAAACAAAGACTGGCAATGCCTAGATTTTATTTCAATTCCTTTAGTCCTTCTATTTGATATATATATATATATATATATTAAAAAAAGAAGAGAGCTTAGACTAGATGTTCTTTGTTATGTTAACTTAAATATAACTTGAGATACCTATATTGTCTCTCTCGTTCTTTAGCTTAATTTCTCGAACCATCTTTGTTTTGCCTTTTAATTTGTTAGTTGTTCTCAAGAACAAATATTGCTCCTGTAGTTATTCACTTGCTATCATCAGGATGTGCATATATCAAAATCTCCTTATCTAGGAACTTCTTTTCAGTAGAAATTTAGCTTTCATCATGATCATTTGATGACAAGAGAATTATGGGCACACATAAAATAGTTGCAGGTATGTAATCCAAATGCTTAGGATCTTTTAAGATAACTGGAGGGCCAGCAGTTGGGTGTTTTTGGAAGAGTGGTGCAAGTGAAACTGGTTGTTGAATGCAGAATAACTCTTTCGAAAGATGCTACATGATTTTTGTTGAGTCTTTTGGGATATTCTCCGCTACAGCAGAATTTCTTTCCTATTGTTTCCCTGAAATTGGTCAGTATTCTTTAAATAAGAAAAATGGCATCACATAATTGGAAATAAGTAACGAAACTTTTTGATGAGTCGAAATAAATTAAAGAAAAAGATAGCATCACATAGTTTGAAAATATAATTTAACAATAGTTTGAAAATATAATTTAACAATTATATTATCTGGTGCCTGGTGGGTTGTTCATTGCTGGAGGTGGCTCATGGCATAAATTTTTTTATAGAATTCATGGTGTAAGAATCTGGTTTGATAAGATGTTCCTGGATCCTGAATCTTGCAACTCTACTAGCAGCTGCTCCTTGAGGAAAGTATCCTCCCAAAAAAAAAAAAAAATGGTTTGATAAGATGTTCCTGGATCCTGAATCTTGCAACTTTTTGAGAGGGGAAGTGCTGCATCATGTGTTTTATATTTGTGGAATAGACTAGTTGAGTGTTTGTGATCTGAAATTTTTTTATAAAAATCTTTAGGTTAGTCTTTTGAGTATAATTCTTCACTTCTTGAAAAATATGTTGGAACAAAAGAATTAAAGACTGTTACCTAGTTTTGATCTTCTTTGAGGAGGTATGAATCTCTCAAGTGAAAACAGCAAAAAGAAAAAAGGTTATTGTGTTGCCAGCATATACTGTCTGGACAGCTGTTGGAAGGATAAAAGTGTTGTTGTGTGATATGCTCAATGAAGATGTTCTCTCAAAAAAGATGAAATTGAAAACAAAATAGCCCAGTCTTGCTTTATATCTTTTTCTATACCCAATGTTGTTTTCAGCAGTTATAAACAAGAGAGGAGATTTACAGTTAGCTGAGCATGCAGTTTTGTTAAACATCAGTTCCTAGTATTCTACTAACTTATAAAGTGGATATTTCGAGAATTTGTTAACTATACAATCTGTGTATCTAGAACACCATTGAGTCATCATGTATGCGTCTACATCTTATGAAACTATTGAATCGATGATTTACGGTTTCACATTAACTGATATATCCTCAAGTTAAAGATGGAATTAATATACTGAGGAGCAGTATCCGAGATTCCATTGAAAAGTCTTGAAGAACACTCTGAAGTGTTAGCTATTTGGGAAAAGGGCACGCTATACTTGAAAAATGATTTTGATAGTAATGGATCATATATTGCTTACTATATGGTGACATGGATATCTTGTTTTGGATGCTACAGTTCATGACTGAGATGAAGGAGACTGCTTTTATTATGCAGAATGTCTCCCAAAGGTGACACACCATGTGTACTTTATGCAAAGGGATGTGACATAAAATATCTGTTTCTATAAATGTTACTTTTTCATAATTGCAGGAGTTTGATCATCATGGATGAACTTGGCAGAGCTACTTCTTCGTCTGATGGATTTGCAATTGCCTGGAGCTGCTGCGAGCATCTGTTGTCACTGAAAGCGTAATCACTTCGCGCACTCACCTAATACCATGCCTTTGGAGAGTAGCCAAAGATTATAATTGCATAAAATTTTAGCCATCCAAGCATCAAAAAGCGCACATGCATTTCATATGATCATATATAATTCTAACTGGCCCTTTTGCCTTAATTCAAAGTTGTTATATGATATTAGCTCACTTTGGTTATTGGAATTCATTCAAGGTGTTTATAATGTGCTACATGCATTTTGTAATCATTATTTCCATGATGGTACGTAGAAAGTGCCCATAAACCAGAGTAAAATATTACTTAAATCTTTGGTAAGTAGTAAAGTTGTGCCCTGCTGCATGATTGTTTAGTAAATGATACAAGAGCTTTTGTGTTTTCCAACTTAAAAATCGTCTTAGTTTTCATGGGATATGGCATGACATTGTTTTCTTTGGTAGTGTGGATTTGTTCAGATTAAATACTGTTGAAGGAAAATACATAACTACTAACATTATGTGGAGTTTAGATAGGTGGAAGCTTACTGATAAATCAATTTTCTTTTACTATCTTTTCAGTTATTACTCTCTGCGTGGTTCCTACTACATGCCTCTCGCTGTTCCTGTCCTGTTTGTCATCTCCTAGATTTCTCTTTCAAAAAACTGTGCATAAGACAACAAGTATAGAACTTCAACTGAAGGAATTTGCTTACTTCTTGCTTCTTCTTCAGGTATACCATATTTGCTACTCACATGGAGAACCTATCAGAACTAGCAACCATCTATCCAAATGTCAGGATTGTTCACTTTCATGTTGACATAAAAAGCAACCGTTTGGATTTCAAGGTTCTATCTCTATTTTCTTTTTAACCTGAATTTTACTTTAGCCATGTGTATTCATTAACTGAAACTTTGATTGTGCAAGTAGTTTCAACTCGAGGACGGACCAAAACATGTACCACACTATGGCCTTCTACTAGCAGAGGTGGCTGGACTGCCGTGCTCAGTGATTGAAATGGCTAGAAGCATCACATCAAAGATTACAGAAAAGGTGATTTCTCTCAAGCAACTCATTAAGGCTTCAAGTTTGATTTCAAGGAATATGTTAACTACAGTGTTGCAGTAATTAGTTCACAACTCTCTAGTTTTAAGCACCTTAAAATGCATTGAAAGACGTGATAAATCAAAGCTCCAGATGCACAAGTGTAGGAGATTTATAGTGCTGGAGCCAGAAAATAACCGGTTTGTCAGTATAGGGAACTTATATGCGAGTCAGAATTTATACTGAAGCAAGATTGAAGGCAGCAAGAAATTGTTCATTCAGAATTTTGCTTCAATTCAACATACCTATTTCTAAGAAAAAGTTGCGTAACTTGATAATATGAAATAATAGTGGGCATAATGTGCATTTGGTTCTAACTATGGTCATACATAAGCAATGAGAACCACATCTCCTTAACCGAATACTTCATGTAAAAAATCTTGGCAGTCTCAAAAAATGTTTTTGAATATGAAGAAACTTCACATCCACATAACAGGATGTTGGAAGACCTCGTACCCGTTTATTTTTCTTGGTTTTGGCAAGGGCATCATTCTATCTCTGGATCTTGGGAAAGAGCCACATCCTTTTTCTTTTTCTTGGTACTGCGCCTGTAAGGACATCATAGCTCAGGACACCATTTAACCTCCATTAATGAACAGACATCTTTAGGTGTACCTTGATCTTTTAGAAATTTCTGGAAGCAAATCTAGGAGCAGCAGCTTGGCAAGATGTTTATTTGGCTGTAAGCAATTTTAAGCAACTGGATAGTTTCGTGGTATATTGATTGGTTTATATGCACTTGTTGATCAGTGAGATACAAAACTGTTCTGTGTCAATCACATTCATCATGACAGACTTATAATTCTGTCATCACTGTTCTACTTAGCCATATAAATGTGCTATTCTGCCTACATGCCACTTCCTGAATAAATAATATCTACCAATATGTGCATAATTTTGTTCATTCTGATAGCATCTTAAAATTTTAATGTCCAGCAAACGAAGAAAATGGAAGTAAACTGCACGCAGTACCATCAACTGCAGATGGTGTATCGTGTAGCTCAGAGATTGATATGCTTAAAGCATTCCAACCAAGATGAGGATTCAATCCGGCAAGCATTACAGAATCTCAAAGAGCAGTACATAAACGGAACTATCTAAAGCTTGTTGTAGGTTGCAAGTTGCAACACCCCTCCAGTATGTCCTAAATGGGTTCTTGTTACAGCAGATCTTTTAGACTAAAAATTAATGCTACAAAATTACCTTAGCTCGAGTGCAATGCCATCTGACAAATGATGTTCTCCTTGGTACTAACATACTGACTCCTAGTTTCCATGTACCAATAATTTTCCACCTATTTTTTGCACCGGGAAAAAGTAAACAAGCCAGGGAAGGAAATTTAGATACACGAACAAGATGCATTATTCAGTTTTAGAGTTGAAGGGGCATACAGATTTATCATACAAATTTATTACTGCAAAGAAATATGAAACACCCTTTCAAAAGCCTAGTGATGGACCAAAAAGCAAACAAAAAGCAAGGCCAGCAGGATGAATTTTTGAAACAGGGAAGGTTATCAAACGCTGCCTAACAAAGGTGGAGCGACTTAGGAAGGATAATGTAAATGCACAATAGGACAAAGTGTTTCAAAAACGGGACTTTATAACTTAATAATGTTATCAGATAACATAGAAAAACACGCTCCAAGTTTTCCAATATCCAAAACTTTGAACTCCATGACTACAATGTCCTCTGAAAAAATTGAACAAGGGACAACATAAAAGCAAACATCACTGAACTCAGCGGTAACGACGAAGGGAAAGGGTGTTGTTTCTCTTCCAGTTTGCTCGGCGAGAAGGTCGAGCTTTATGGGGCAAGTGTCCCCTGCCACGTAGACCCCTGTATTTCTTCCCAGCAGAGGTAAGGCCCCGGAGCTCCCTGTGCTTGTGAACAGGGTTGCACAGCCAGTTGATTCTTGGGTCATTGCGGATGGCATTGTGGGCAACATCAACCAAGATTACCTCAAAGTACTTGTAAGTAGAATCCTGTGTTGAAGAAAATACATTACTAATGCAAGTAAATGAATGACAGTGATGTAGTACAATTTTTAGGTAGCCAGACTAAGAAATGAGGCAAAATAGTGACAAATAAAATAAGACTGAGATGCACATTCAAACTTAGCTGACTAACCTCATTAATCCAGTATGAGTTAAGAACTCTGAGGCCCCCCAATCTCCGGCCAGCACGCTCCTCTGCCACAGACCTCTTGCTTCGTTGAAACTTCAGTTGAGTAACACCCTGGTTTGTAGGCTTACCATATACAATACCCTTGGGAACAGGCCTCTTCCTACCACCCCGCCTAACACGGATACGATAAACAACATAGCCCTAAAAGAAACAAAATATTTTCAGTATCCATGCAGATGTGCAGAGCAATAGACAATTGTTTGTTGCCATGCACACTTCAAACACAAAAAATTAAGATGAGGAGAGGAAACAAGGATAAGAATAGCAACTTTAATAGCTTCAATTAACAATGGTTTATTGATCTACTTTTTTACAACCTTCAATGTTATAAACAATCACGTAGCTATAAAAATCACAAATTCCTAGTGTTCTTTTAGAAGACAATCCGAAAGTTTGAAAAGAAAATGTCAAGCAAAAATCCAACCTACTAATTTAAAATCCAAACAATTTCTTCCCATTTGACTAGGAGATCAAATTCAGGACATCAGTAACAGCAAAAGAACTGTATCAGATCGAGACAAAAATGAACTCAACAAAGCACGAGCCCATTTGGTCAGATGATCTGTTATTCTGATATTGCTGGTATTAGTAAGCATGCCATCATTGTACATAAGCATCCTCCCAGAGAAGAATGAATACACAGACAGTGCCTGACCAGCAAGAATCACACAATGCAACCGAGAAACAACATTGTTCTGCAACGAGCACAGGCTGATTAAGTCTATCAACAGTGGCACAGAACTACACACATCAGCAAAAACTAACTACACCCTCTAAAATTAGTGTCATTGCTGTCATAAACAAACTGGGAACTATTAAAAAACAAAATACTTCTTGCATTACACATTCCATCTGAAAGGACTCGACAAGTTATCCACAAAAAAAGAGCGTTTTAAACTCAATCAGTTAACAAAATCTAACGATAAAGAATACTTATAGAGTTCACATGTAACTGAAGCTCAAAACCTAGCAAGCAAATGCCAACAACAGAAATAGCAGTAATTAATCTAACTGAGATCTCAAACACTTGATCCATACTAAACATGGCAATCAAAGTGTTACCTGCTTCGCCTTATAGCCCAAGCGGCGAGCCTTGTCAGGGCGTGTAGGATGCGTGACCCGAACAATAGAAGGATGCTGGCGGTACTCCCAACACCTAACCCTTTGCAAAAACCTCATCACATCTGATTGCTTCTTCCTCCATAGCTCAGATACGTACTTGTAAGCCCCTATTTTCATCAAACCCGCAAAATAAAAAAAAAAACTTAAAACTCTTCACAACGTACTTGAACTTTTTCAATAGCACAAAAACTTAAGCTCTTTGATCCCTGTGAAAATGAATTTGCAAGAAATGTATGTAACACAATTCTCAAATAAAACTTCTTTGTTCTAACAAAACTAGATAGAGAAAAACATTAGAGGGCTACAAGCCAAAAAAAAAAAAAAAAAAAAAAAGGAATTCTAAAACCAGTTTAGGTAGTACCTTCAAAAGTAGTAAAGTTAACAGATCAACATAAAAGAAACAAAAGATAGATTTGAAATATGAATTCCGTAGAGAGGGGGGGGAGAGAGAGATACCCATTGGATCAGAGCAGCAACGATACCTGGCCGGTGACTAAGTTTTTTAGTTTGCCAGATAAAAATAGAGAAGGTTGGGTCAGTGAAGAAATAAAACCCTAGCAAAAACTAGAGAGACGTTATCTTGGCCGTTCATTTCTTTGTTAGACATGGCATCTTATAGGAGCGTTACTAGTGCGGACCCTTGACGTTCTTTTCCTTTTCTTTAGGTGCTCGGGCTATGAGAATATGGGCCAGGCCCAATAAGGATTAGTGGTGGAACTCCAAAGTTCCAAACACATAATAACCCTTTGCAAAAATCTTATTCTAACTTTTTTGTTTTCATTCCCACTCCCCGTATCCGTTTGCCGCAGGCAAGCACGACTTATAAGTGGGCTGTTATGGTACTACCCATAATGGGCTTGACCCAACGGGTGGATAGGCACAGTAGACCCAGATCATGTTTTGATGTAACAAGATTATTTTCAAAACAAATTTTGCTTATATTGAAAAGAAAAAACATAATATGTATATATGTGTGTGTGACTTCGTTGTTTGAATTTTTCTTAGCTCAAAAGTCACAAATCTTTAAAACAAAAGCATGCAAATAATAACACAAAACACAAATACAATCTGTCAATGATTTATGAGGTATTTAGGGTACTTATATTTACTTTATTCATCAATTAATTTAAATTAAAAAATAAACATATTTTTTATAAGATATCCAAAACATATTTTTAACTAAGAGCCATTCTTTATCAATTAGAAAAATGAGACTTTTTTTTCCCTACAGAAGCTATCCTCTACAAATTCAAAAGTAATTTGTGACTTACTATTTATTAGCTTTTCCATCTACTGCCATTCGCTTCCTATGTTAATCTACTTCACTGTAAGTAATATTCTTTCATTTTTTATTTTGGCTCTCTTCTTGTTAAATTTCTTAATTACAATTTATGTGCTATATATAATCCTTTGTTTAGTTCTAGGAACTAAGAATTGATTTATGCATGACACTGTACAACATGTTCTACTGATCTGATATGTTGACAAATAAGATACTATGCATTGACAATAAACTACTAGATATAACTTTTTTACGAACTAAAAGGGTTATATTAAAATTTAGGAAATAGGGTTGAATAGATTTTGATGTGATAGATCAAAAATAGTTGTTTATATGCGATGTGTTATTAAGTTTAGAATTCATTTTTTATTTCATAACTTAATTAAATTTATAATTATATTAATTAAATACATATTTATTTTTTATTATTTTGTGATAGTCAGTTTTTTAATTTCACGATTATTAGATTGTGACAGTTAGAATTTAATAATTTATTATTTAATCAAATTAAATTTTTAATAATCATGATTGTTATGAAAGGATTTCAATAGACTATAACTAGAAAAAATTTTAGTAAGTTATAAATAGAAAAGAGTGATGCTGGTAACTTTTTAGGTACAACAATTGAATTTTAAAAGTGAATTATCAAAATCCTTGGGCATTATAGTGAAGCAATAATCACTTTAAAAAATAATATGGGAGATTTCTACAGGTAATTAAACACTATGATCCATTGTTTTCATTTGGAATTCTGCTGTTGTTATTTTATCATTAAACATAAGGCAAAAGGTAGATTTGTTAGTCATCGTCTCTATTTATTTCAGTTCCTTTCTCTGTGAACCCAGCAGCGCAATCTAGAGGCTTCTATGGTGTGTCTGAATCAATAGGTGCTGCAAATTTCTCCAATCGGCGGCTCCACCTTGAGAGCTGGTGAATTCAACGATGGTTGGGTTATAAAAGATGATTCCTGATGGCTTGAAAAAATTGCAGTAAGAGGTTTTGGACCTGTTTGGTTTGTGATAAAAACAGAAGAACAAAAAGAGATGGGATTCAATGCATGGCGGCATAGACGGGAAGTGGAGAAATAATTAAGGTTGTTCTTCCAAATTGAAATTTTAGTTTTAATGCTATTAAATCTGTTCAGACTAGGGGAAAAAATCTTGAATTTTGAATTTTCTAGGGTTTAAAAATTTTAGCTAGACGGGCAGATACACTTGTATTTTTGGATTTTTTAATATTTAAAATTAATATATATATATATATATATATATATATATATATATATAGCTGAAAAGATTGACAAGAACTACAGCAGGAAAAAAAAAAAAAAAACTGTATAAAATTTTAAATGATTCCAAAAATAAAGAATCAATACGAAGAAATTGACAAAATTAAAAAAGCAGAAATAGGAGGAAATTGGATTTATCTTATTATATAAACTTAACATGGGAGAGCAGAATTCAAAATTCTTTACAATTTCTCACAAGCCATAGATAGAAATCAATCATCGCCTTCTCTGACTCCAATTGCACAGTTGTCCCTCCCATTCTTTATAATGGCTCACTCACTGGGCAGACTTCCACATAATTCAACCTTCTTCAAGAGAGATTCCACTTGGCCACAAGCAGCTAATACAGCTCCACCTTGCTCCACTAACAGGAAGACAGCAGCTCCCATTTCCTTCATTTTCCTTCAACAAAAGACCGGCTTTGTTATAAACCAAAAGGACAATCGTCCTTTCTCTATCTATGCTTCCGCTCCATTTCCCTTCTTGAATGCTTAACATCCTCCTCCCATTCTACTGGCGGTGTTGGTGACGGCTCATACCTAGAGGGTTTCCTCTTAAAGTGCCTGTCATCGTCACTGGACTCATAGTCCATGGCAGCGGCGGCCGCAGCAGCACTGCCACTGCTCTTTCTAGCTTTCGCAGACGACTTATAGTCATCATAGTAGCCATTATTAACAGGCGATGAAGACTTGTGACGTGCAGAAGATGCAGGGGCAGCAGCACCAGCAGCTGGTTTGTTTTTTCCATTTCCATAAAAGTTTAGAAACTGATAAGAATTGGAATACATCTCCAGGACTAGACTTCTACGGGCCAATCTGTTGCAGCCTTTAAAAGATATTGAGACTATCAATACTCGGCTTGATTGCTTGGTTAGTGTATTTGGTTAACTCAGATGATTTCTCTAGTGGAGTTATGTTAGCTTGATGCGGCCCTGGGCTTGCAAATACAACAGTGCTGGTTTGTTCAGATTGTAATCGGTTAATGTTTATGTATGTGTGCATGTGTTGCGTGTGTAAGAAGAAAAAGATGCACCTATTTCTCAATCATTTGAAGTTATTTTCACAAGCCTTTGTAGGCAGTCTCTGTTATTCACGTCTACATAATACTTGTTAGAGTGCAAACTGGCAAAATGCACTATAATTGTCTAATAAGTATAGGTTACACATGGATTTTGTTTGGATAGGTATGGATGTGAATCTTTGGTTGGTGGGCTACGGTTATAATATGTAAAAAAAGAAAAATTATGTGAAAAATTGTGAAAAATGAAAATGATATAACAAGTTAGTCTGTCCACAAGGATGCAAAAAGCTTTCTTCTTGCAAATGTTTACAAGACTATATGTGAAAATGAGAAGTATACTTCCATTAGAAAGAGGTATGTTGCTAGCATGTTCCTGTCGATAAACTGTTTTTTTTTTTTCCACAGGACATAACTAGTGCCTGAGGCAGTGCAAAAGTATTCCATCTAGTTATTGGTTCCCTAGATTCTAGTTGGCTAATCATTTTGGGCTTCAATAAAAGGGATATTTGTGCCCATATACCCATCTCGAATGTGAGGATTTTAGGTGTTTGAAGGTTCAGAATAATGCATTTCAACTTTTGTGAAATATATTTGCCCATATCGCATCCCTTACCTGAGGGAAATGCATCCACTACTTTGGCACATTTTAATTGTTTGAAGGTTCAGAGTAATGCAATTCAGCTTTGGTGTCATTTGCAAACATTTCTTATTTTTTCCTTTGTTGAATTATTGAGGTGCATTGTTTTTTTCTGTATTTCTTGGATTTTTATTCGGGTTTTTAAATTTCCCTCCCTCATGCAAGCTTAAGCATAATACCGATTCTGCCATTCGCTGTCTTTCTCATGTTTTATTATTTAACCTCACTGGGTGCGGAGGTTTATTCCAGGTCAGATACTATGTTTGATCTCTTATGAAAGCAACGGATTTGTTTGTTTATGCTCACGTGGCTAGCATATGATGCTTTGCACTGCAAATGAACACTATAGAGGGATATGGACCTAGGTTGAAGGAAATGAAGGAAAATGATAATAGTATGACCATAGAGTTGATAAGCGCTATTGAGTGTTGTAAAAGTTTCACTATTTGATTCAGTTGGTGATAAACCACACTTGGAGTTAAAATATAATGTTAAAATAATCACCATTATGGCATTTAATTTGCAGGAGATCTTGTTTTTAGTTTGTAATGTACCATAAAAATATACATTACAATGCCTTTTAATCCCTTGGTAAATTTTTGTTAAACCTTGTGTAAGTACAAACTACTTGATTCATTTTCTGGAAAAGCTTTATTTTTTCAAGAGTGGGAGAGGTGATTGATGAAGACGTGCTTCATGCACGGGTTCCTTTTGTTGCTCGAACACAGCAGTGTTTTGCTGTCAAGGCTGGAATTGATGAACTTTTGGATATTGCATGGAGAACATTTTGTGATACCAGTGAAGGTTTACCATATCGGTTTCTGTTCCATTAATTTTCTTTTCGTCATTTTCCTTCATCTCTTGTTTTCATTGTTGTTTCCATGGGCAGCAATACATAATCTTGCAAATAGGTATCGAGAAGAATTTAAGCTGCCAAATCTGAAAGTTCCATTTAACAACAAACAAGGCTTTTACTTTAGCATTCCACAGAAAGACATCCAGGGAAAGCTTCCAAGCAAGTTCATTCAGGTCGGCCATAAGATTCCTCTTCTAGTGATCATAGTAAAAATCTCCTTACTCATTAATTTTGACATGCATTTGCTTTTGACACATGAATCAGGTCCTGGAACATGGGAACAATACACATTGCTCAACTTTAGAACTTGCTTCGGTTAGTATAATCTCGTATAAACAACTTCATACTCATGTACATGATCTGTGACCAGATATGAAATTCTGTAATTCCATGTTACAATATTATGCAAGGAGAAATGATATTACTGTTATTTTAGCATGATATCACCCCAATACCCGCCGCATTATGGTAAGGTTCAAGTGTATGCATGTGTGGCCTTCTTTTCTTGATGGAATGAATAGATCTCAATCTGGTGTTTGTGTGGCCTAATGACGGTTGCCCATGCCAAATAATTTTGTGCATAGCTGGAACTGTCTTAGAATTGTTATGCAATAAATATCAAGATAACAATACATATACTGAGCTAAGAACCTCAATTCAGGTTATTGTCCTTTTTTGGGTGCAAATTTGCATGAAATTGTTAATTGTACCAATGGAATCATTTATAAGAGACCAACTCAAGTGCAAATGTTAGATTTTCCTCCAGTACAACTGCAGCTTGTCACTTGTTCATCTCTATTTTCATACAACATTTATAATATTCTATGGGTAAGTGTCATCAACAATTTATACCTGAATTTTCCTTTACTAAGACCTGAGCTATGAACATGAATAGAACTTTAAAGCAATGTTGGTCATTTTTCTGCATGACTGTAATCTTCTCATTACAGAATCTTGTGTTCATGTCATTCGATTGTTCTTAAGTATGTACTACTGTATGTTCAGTCTTCCTGCCTGAGCCCTGGAAATTTCTCATTGAGTTTGCTTCATGGTGTGAAATGTGCAGCTGAACTTGAGAAATAAGTCTGCTGCTGCAGAGTGCTGTATAAGAACAGAAGTTTGCCTTGAAGGTTGTAATAGACATCTTTTAAGTATTCAAATATTGATAAATAAATTATATCTTAGTCTTAAAATGTTTACTTATGCTCTATCTCTGGATGGAGTGTACTGTGCCTTTTTGTGTTAGTATTGACCTGGTGAAGAGCATTTTGTGAAATTTAAGTGACAACTAATTCATTTTAAGTGATAGAATTGGTGGAAAGATCTACTTTACAATTTCCATTAATATGTGGGAATATGTTCTGTTATTATGCTTCTCTACTAAAGGTTTCTTTTGATTAATTTTATTTTCTGCTGTTATATGGTAAAGGTCTCTATGTACCTTGTGTAAGGGTTGTGGATGTAAGAGGTTTATGACCATTATTTTTAGCAGGCTGCCGATTTTCCATGGCAGAACTTTTGCTTCTTAATTGGATTTAACAATAATTAAACGAATGTCCAGTGTGTCAGTTTATCATTTTACCATAGCATTAAGGCTCTTACTTTGCAAATTATTAGAAAATCTCAAAACATTTGAACACTACTTCCATATTCCAGAAAATATAAGAGATGAATGTATTTGCTTAATGTTGCTTTGATTTTGCAATATATATTGGTGTTAATGTTCTTATTTGGTGCTTAAATTGTAAATGTTCAATTATAAGGTACCTATTTCAGGGGAAGGACTATGAGCATCTCTCATGTATGGCTTGCTTGTCGTAGAGGGAATCTAGAACCAGTCATGTTGACTGCCAATTATAAGCATTACAGAATCTCAAAGAGCAGTAAATAGACAGAACTATCTAAAGCTTGTTGTAGGTTGCAAGTTGCAACACCCCTCCAGTCTGGATATAACGGCTTGCAACTTTAAGAATATTTGGTGTTGTTACTTTAGTTTCCGTTTGACATCCAAATTCAGAAAACCGCATGTATGCATTTCTATCTTGAGATGATGCTATAATTTTGCTGTGTTGTTTCGTTTGCTGAAGTGAGGTTGGCGGGGAGAAAGGTTCACATTGAGAATTAATAATTGACATTCCGAGGATACATGGTTAAAAGCTTTTATGCATCCAACTATTTTAAATTTTGTACTAATTTTCTTTTTCTTTTTCTATTTGTCTTAATGTTTCTTCACTACTTTCAAATTTGTTATAGCAAATCTTTTAGACTAAAAATTAATGTTTCAAAATCGCCTTAGCTCGAGCGCAATGTCATCCGACAGATGTTCTCTTTGGTACTAACATACTGACTCCTAGTTTCCACGTACCAATAATTTTCCACCTAATTTTTGCACAGGTAGCGAAGCGGGAAAAATTATGCAAGCCAGGGAAGAAAGGAAATTTAGACACGCGAACAAGACGCATAATTCAGTTTTAGAGTTAAAGGGGGCACATAGATTTATCATACAAATTTGTTACTGTAAAGAAATATGAAACACCCTTTCAAAAGCCTAGTGATGGACCAAAACGCAAACAAAAAGCGAGGCCAGCAGGATGAATTTTTGAAACAGGGAAGGTTATCAACGCTATCTAACAAAGGTGGAGCGACTTAGGAAGGATAATGTAAATGCAAAATAGGACAAGGTGTTTCAAAAACGGGACATTGCATGCAATATTTATAACTTAATAATGTTATCAGTTCGCATAGAAAAACATGCTCCAAGTTTTCCAATATCCATAATTTTGAACTCCATGACTACAACGTCCTCTGAAAAAATCGAAAGAGGGACAACATAAAAGCAAACATCACTGAACTCAGCGGTAACGACGAAGGGAAAGGGTGTTGTTTCTCTTCCAGTTTGCTCGGCGAGAAGGTCGAGCTTTATGGTGCAAGTGTCCCCTGCCACGTAGACCCCTGTATTTCTTCCCAGCAGAGGTAAGGCCACGGAGCTCCCTGTGCTTGTGAACAGGGTTGCACAGCCAGTTGATTCTTGGGTCATTGCGGATGGCATTGTGGGCAACATCAACCAAGATTACCTCAAAGTACTTGTAAGTAGAATCCTGTATTAAAGAAAATAATACATCACTACTGCAAGTAAATGAATAACAGTGAAGTAGTGCAATTTTTAGGTAGCCAGACTAAGAAATGAGGCAAAATAGTGACAAATAAAATAAGACAGAGATTCACATTCAAACTTAGCTGACTAACCTCATTAATCCAGTATGAGTTAAGAACTCTGAGGCCCCCCAATCTCCGGCCAGCACGCTCCTCTGCCACAGACCTCTTGCTTCGTTGAAACTTCAGTTGAGTAACACCCTGGTTTGTAGGCTTACCATATACAATACCCTTGGGAACAGGCCTCTTCCTACCACCCCGCCTAACACGTATACGATAAACAACATAGCCCTAAAAGAAACAAAATATTTTCAGTATCCATGCAGATGTGCAGAACAATAGACAATTGTTTGTTGCCATGCACACTTCAAACACAAAAAATTAAGATGAGGGGAGGAAACAAGGATAAGAATAGCAACTTTAACAGCTTCAATTAACAATGGTATTATTGATCTCCATTTTTACAACCTTCAATGTTATAAACAATCACCTAGCTAAAAAAATCACAAATTCCTAGTGTTTTTTGAGAAGACAAAATGAAAGTTTGAAAAGAACAGGTCAAGCAAAAATCCAACTTACTAATTTAAAATCCAAACAATTTCTTCCCATTCAGCTAGGAGATCAAATTCAGGACATCAATAACAGCAAATGAAATGTATAAGATCGAGACAAAAATGAACTCAACAAAGCGAGAGCCCATTTGGTCAGATGATCTGTTATTCTGATTTTGCTGGTATTAGCAAGCATGCCATCATTGTACATAAGCATCCTCCCAGAGAAGAATGAATACACAGACAGTGCTTAACCAGCAAGAATCACACAATGCAAACGAGAAACAACATTGTTCTGCAATGAGCACAGGCTGATTATGTCTATCGACAGCGGCACAGAACTACACACATCAGCAAAAACTAGCTACACCCTCTAAAATTAGTGCCATAGCTGTCATAAACAAACTGGGAACTTTAACAAGAAACAAAAGGTAGAACTATTAAACAAGAAAATGCTTCTTGAATTACACATTCCATCTGAAAGGACTCAATAAGCTGACCACAAAAAAAAAGAGCGGTTTAAACTCAATCAGTTAACAAAATCTAACGATAAAGAATACTTATAGAGTTTACATGTAACTGAAGCTCAAAACCTAGCAAGCAAATGCCAACAACAGAAATAGCTGTAATTAATCTAACTGAGACTCAAACACATGATCCATACTAAACATGGCAATCAAAGTGTTACCTGCTTGGCCTTATAGCCCAAGCGGCGAGCCTTGTCAGGGCGTGTCGGATGCGTGACACGAACAATAGAAGGATGCTGGCGGTACTCCCAACACCTAACCCTTTGCAAAAACCTCATCACATCTGATTGCTTCTTCCTCCATAGCTCGGATACGTACTTGTAAGCCCCTATTTTCATCAAAGCCACAAAATAAAAAAAAACTTAAATTCTTCACAACACACTTTAGCTTTTTCAATAGCACACAAACTTAAGCTCTTTGATCCCTGTGAAAATGAATTTGCAAGAAATGTATATAACACACTTCACAAATAAAATTTCTTTGTTGTAACAAAACTAGATAGAGAAAAACATTATAGGGCTACAAGCCAACCAAAAAAAAAAAAAGAATTCTAAAACCAGTTTTAGGTAGTACCTTCAAAAGTAGTAAAGTTAACAGATCAACATAAGAAACAAAAGATAGATTTGAAATATGAATTGAGCGAAAAGAAGGAGGGAGGGAGGGACGAAGGGAGGGAGAGAGAGAGAGAGATATACCCATTGGATCAGAGCAGCAACGATGCCTGGCTGGTGACTAGGGTTTTTTGTTTGTTACTAGTGCGGACCGTTGACGTTCTTTACCTTTTCGTTAGGTACTCGGGCTATCATCATATGGGCCAGGCCCAATAAGGATTAGTGGTGGAACTCCAAAGTTCCAAACACCAACCCTTTGCAAAACACTTATTCTAATTTTTCTGTTTTCATTCCCACGTGTGCCGGAATCCATTCAAAGCCGAGCACGACTTATAAGTGGGCTGTTATTGTACTACCCATAATGGGCTTGTGCCAACGGGTGGATAGGTACAGTAGACCCAGATCATGTTTTGATGTAACAAGATTATTTTCAAAACAAATTTTGCTTATATTGAAAAGAAAAAACATAATATATATATACGACTTCCTTGTTTGAATTTTTCTTAGCTCAAAATTCATAAATCTTTTAACCAAAAGCATACAAATAATAACACAAAACACACATACAATCTGTCAATGATTTATGAGGTATTTAGGGTACTTATATGTACTTTATCCATCAATTAATTTAACTTAAAAAATAAACATCTTTTTTTTTAATAAGATATCCAAAACACATTTTAATTAAAAGCCATTCTTTATCGGTTCGAAAACTGAACCTTTTTTTTTCCTACAAAAGCTATCCTCTATAAATTCAAAAGTACTTTGTGACTTACTATTTATTACTTTTTTTTATCTATTACCATTCGCTTCCTATGTTAATCTACTTCACTATAAGTACTATTCTTTCATTTTTTTATTTTGGCTCTCTTCTTGTTAAATTTCTTAATTACAATTTATGTGCTATATATAATCCTTTGTTTAGTTCTAGAAACTAAACATTGATTCATGCTTGGCACTGTACAACATGTTCTGCTGATTTGATATGTTGACAAATTTGATATTATTAAAGTTAAAGTACCAAAAGCACTTCCAATAGCACCGGTAGATATAAATTTCTTACGAATTAAAAGGGTTACATTAAGATTTAGGAAGTAGGGTTGAATAGATTTTGATGGGATAGATGAAAAATAGTTATTTATATGCCATGTGTTATTAAGTTTCAAATTTATTTTTTATTTCGTGACTTAATGAAATTTGTAAATATATTAATTAATTACGTCTTTAATTATTATTCTTCTGTGACAATCAATTTTTAAATTTCCTTATTATTGACTGTTAAAATTTAATAATTTGTTATTTAATTAAATTAATTTTTCAACCATTATAATTGTTACGAAAGGATTTCAATAAATTACAAATAGAATATTTTTTTAGTAAATAATAATTAAAAAAAAGAAGTAAAGCTGGCTATTACTTGAGTACGAAAATTGAATCTTAAAAGTGAATTGCTAAAATCCTTTAGGATTATAATGAAGCAATAATCGTTTGTTTTTTCTCTTGAATTCTTCAGTTGTTATTTTATCATTCAACATAAAGCGAATGGTGGATTTGTTAGTCATTCAACATAAAAGATGATTCCTGATGGCTTGAAAAAATTTGCAGTGATAGATTTTGAACCTGTTTGGTTTGTGGTAAAAACAGAAGAACAAAAAGAGATGGATTCGAAGCATGGCCGCAGAGACGGGGAAGTCGAGAAATAATTAAGGTTGTTCTTCCAAATTGAAATTTTAGTGTTAATGCTATTAAATCTGTTGACACTAGAGGAAAAAATCTTAAATTTTGAATTTTCTAGGGTTTCAAAATTTTAGCTAGACGGATAGATACACGTGTATTTTTTGTTTTTTTTAATATTTTAAATTACACTATATATATATATATATATATATATTGACACTAGAGGAAAAAATCTTAAATTTTGAATTTTCTAGGGTTTCAAAATTTTAGCTAGACGGATAGATACACGTGTATTTTTTGTTTTTTTTAATATTTTAAATTACACTATATATATATATATATATATATATATAGCCTAAAGCATTGATAAGAACTACAGCAGAAAAAAAACGGTACAAAATTTTAAATGATTCCAAAAATAAAGAATCAATACGAAGAAATTGGCAAAATTAAAAACGCGAAAATAGGAGGACATTGGATTTATTTTATTATATAAACTTAACATGGGAGTACAAAACTCAAAATTGTTTACAATTTCCATAGACAGAAATCATTGAATCGTCGCCTTCTCTGAATCCAATTGCACAGTTGTCTCTCCCATTTTGATTTTGGAATCATTTTATTCCATGTACAATGGCTCACTCACTGGGCAGACTTCCACATAATTCAACCTTCTTCAAGAGAGAGACCACTTGGCCACAAGCAGCTAATACAGCTCCACCTTGCTCCACTAACAGGAAGACAGCAGCTCCCATTTCTTTCATTTTCCTTCAACAAAAGACAGGCTTTGGTATAAAACAAAAGGACAATCTTCCTTTCTCTATCTATGCTTCCGCTCCTTTTCCCTTCTTGAATGCTTAACATCCTCCTCCCATTCTACTGGCGGTTGTGGTGACGGCTCGTACCTAGAGGGTTTCCTCTTAAAGTGCCTGTCATCGTCACTGGACTCGTATTCCATGGCAGCGGCGGCCGCAGCAGCACTGCCACTGCTCTTTCTAGCTTTCACAGACGACTTATAGTCATCATAGTAGCCATTATTAACAGGCGATGAAGACTTGTGACGTGCAGAAGATGCAGGGGCTGCAACACCAGCAGCTGGTGTTGCTTCACTAGAGGAAGAAACCTTGCGCTTTTTACTGGTAGGTTCTCCTTCTGCTGGAAAGCTAATGCGAGAGAAAACACTAACTTTTTGCTTGCGGTCTGTTGCTGATGTTGAAGTGGCTTTAGTGGTTGCCTCAGAGACAGGTTTGGACAAGGATTCTGGACGGTGGCGGTGGTGTTGGCGGTGGTCTCGTTCACTGCGGTCACGCTCGTGGTAATCAAAATCGTCAGCATCTCTATCGCTGTGTTCATGGTGGTAGTGATGGTCGGATTTTCTTTTAGATGGACGCGGTGGTAATGGGTCAAGCTCACGGGCTGGGCGTTCTGGTGATGATCTCTCAGACCGGCGACGGTGATGAAGGTGGGGATCGCCACTGGATTGTGGTATTGACTTCTGCACCAAAATACATGGAACAGCTATTAGAATCTTGAATTTTTTTATTTCCTTTTCTTTTGGGGCATACTATATCTGAAAAACACGTGGTTAATTTGTTACCACGTGGTATATGATTCTGCTTTAAAATTATTTACAACACATTTGGGGGCAGTACTTTATTTGAAAAAAAAAAAAAAAAAACTTTTCTTTCCCTTCTAGAGACTAAAAGATCTTTGATTTTCTTAATTACTCTTCTATACTATTTCAAAAGACAATTGCACAAAAATCAATTTTACAGTCTAGAAACTTTTTTTTTTTTTTGCCACGAGGATTGAGGCTGAAAAAAGCCATGAATTCAACGGTACTGTTATTTTTTCCAACAACACATTCGAGGTTTTTGGTGCTCATCTTTTTAACTTAGGGAAAAAAAAAAAAGTGGGGGGGGGGGGGGGGGGGGGGGGGGGGGGGAACCATAATCCAGTGTCTGTCTGCTTGATGCCAGAGAAAAATATTTACAAAACTCCAAGCACCATCTTCAAGGGGGAAAAAATTAATGGTTCCGCCAAAAAACTACAAGCTTCAGATAAAAACAACCAAAAAAGAAAAAGAAAATCAAGAGGCAGAATCACCCTTTATGGGGGAGGGAATTGCTATGCTCTATGACGTGGTGCCAGCAAATCCAGAAAGACGAGAGAAAATTAACAGGGAGGAATGAGGTGGAAGAGAGAACGGAGACTGATCTCATAAAGGTCTCCGAGGAACCATGAGCATGCTGCTCAGGAAAAAAAAAAAATCCAAAAACTGGGTTGGGTTTGGTGTTAGTTCCAAGTTCTATCCTCTTCCTAAAAGTTGTTCATCGTAAAATGGAGAATAAAATGGGGATTTTTTTCAAGTATGAAGAATAAGTAAAGGATTCAGGAACCCTATAATAATAATAATAATAATAATAATAAATTATTCTTTCTCGCTTTAAGAAAACAAAAGTGTTTTCTTGCCAAATTGTTGCTCAACACCGTGGAGGGCACTTTGCAGTACAGAAATAGATAATAAAGAGAAATCTACGCAATCATAAAGACATACAGATTTCATTGAAGAAACATCACCACTGCTGCTCATTTCCCTACCCAATTCCCGATCTCTGGGAAACTCCCTATAAAAGAGAAAAATTATCCAATGAGAAACCACAAGGCATCAAGAAGCCAGTTGTCACATTAACAAGAATGTGATTACATGAACCAAAAATAAGGAGACAATATGGCAGCAAAATATGTAACCAGGGGGAAAGCATCACATGATCACCAAACTCGAAACAAGTAAATTATAACATATTTTACAAAGCCACCTGACATCCAAATAAAATTATTAGTGCAGCTTTGCAAGTTCTTTGATTAAAAGTTGAAATAATGACAAGGATGTTAGTATATGTGTATTTGGGGGGTAAATTAATAGATTTTTTTTTTTTTTTTGGGTTACAAGTGAATTAAAAGTTTAAGCACTTATGTGTCAAGCATGTGACACAGGAAAGGTCACACATATATAATGAGAAACAGTACCTCTCAGCTCGTCTCTCATTTTCACGACGCCTCCTGACATCAGCTTTCCGGGCCTCGAATTCCTCCCTGCTCATTAGAGGAGGTCCAAGATTCATATTCATTCCAAATTCAGCAAGATCCCTACAGAAGTTGGAAGATAAAAGCTTCCAAATAAGTTTGTCAGCTCATAGAGACAAGGGAAAAATACCAAAGCGCAGCACTACGTACCTCTGAGGTGGAACAACAGGCATCATATAACCCTGGGCACCAAAAGGATCTGGAGGCATAGCACCCCCAAATGGAATGTCCAAGGGGCCTAATCCATAACCCATAAAGGGCATTGGACCCGGATAAGGAGCCATGTATTCCATTCCCGGCTGCATGCCATTCCAATACGGATTGAAGGCAGAGGGACCCATAGGCATCATATAGCTCTCAGCTGCAAGATCCTGAGAAGCTTTCCACATATCTGTCAAGCATTCCAAGAAGGAATCATAAATATCAACACCGGCCTGATAACTAATTACGAATTGAAACAAATATAAAATGCAAAATGCCGAAAACAATTTATCCCAAGAAAACTAAACTAAAGCAACAAATATACCATTTGGAGGCATGCGAACTTTCTTCTTCTTCTTTTTCTTCCCTGACAAAGCAAAAATCACGTTCAGTTAAACAACTCTCATGCATCTTTTCTGGGTGAAATTAAGAGAAAGCACAAAATTCCATCACACTCCACAATGATATATATATATATATATATAGATTGATAATCACCTGCCTCACCAGGAGCCAGCTTCTGCTGCACTTCTTCCTCAGCCAGTGGAGCACTTCCTTGTGATGCTGGCTCCTTCACACTCATCGACTCATGTGTAGCCTCAGATACATCCGCAGCTTTAGCAGTCCTCACTTTCTCAGGGACTTGCTGAGAAGCAATAACAGGCTTCTCCTCTGTTATTTCCTTGTTTAAATTTGGAGATACTTCATTACCAGGAGACGTTTTGTGTTCTCCCTTAGATGCAGCAGACTGCGTGGGTGATGGAATCTTCGGTGGCGGACAGCGTGCGGACTCCATATCTAAACTTAGAAGGCGAGAGTGACATCAATCATAAATGTAATCGAATTCGTGCAAACTCAAGGCAACTAGAACAAAACAAACAGACACACAAACCTTGAACTTGAAAGGTGCTTCCTGCATTTTCAGCACTACTGTTACCAGACTCCAAAATTCGATTGATTGTATCCCTAAGAGTCTTGTTAGGAAGAAGATCATCTGCAAGGACATTTGATACCCCACATACACACTTTGACTTTGAGATGATGTAATCCCTTATACCTGTATCAAACAGTAAGAGAGGTAACTTCATGTAAGAATAAATACTGAAATATGGAAATCCCACAATGTTGAAACAAGCTATAATAGGCAAAGTTGACATTCCTAAAACTAACGAGGCACAAGATGGTGGAGAAGTACGCCAAATTGCCATTTCAAATAAATTTTAACGACGCAACAGAACTATTTACATAGAAAGTGCCAAATGAAATTCCAATACAAGGTGATACAGAAGGAAAGGGGGTTAACCAAAACTTACACTTGTCACAGAAGCTCGTGAAACAACATTTGCTTGTTAAGACTGCATCCTTCATAACTTCCTTACAAAGGGGGCAGTGAAGTTCAGGTGGAAGATCACCAACAGGCCGTGTTGAAGGTAAGCCTTCAATTGCTTTCTCAAAAGCAGCCCTGTTCAAGTTTAAACATTAATAATGAATTTGAAAGCCAACAACTCTAATCTAAGACCATAAGGAGAAGAAGTACTGAAACATAAAACGGAGATCAGCTTACTCATTTGGCTTCAACACAGCAACTGCACCACTAGGTAAAGCATATGAGCCATCTGGGGTCGCCATCAGCATTGACTTTGGAATACCAGTAGGAGGCTTTACTCTTTTAATATCGTAATTAGGGTCCCCATTTGTAGGGCAGTGTTGAATAAAATGTCCTGAATAAAGGAGGCACACACATTAAGCACAGGTTTGCATAATGCTCTCCTACCAGACAAGTGTAAGCAAAAAGCATTTCCTTTGTTTTCATTTAAATATGAGCAGTTACATACCAGGAATCTTGCATCTGTGGCATATATAGCCTTGTGGAGGTGTTTTCCGCTCCAAGCCTAACCAACCTCAACAAGAAAATCGTTTATTTCAGTGTAATGGGAAAACATTAAAGTAAACTTGGAAGAGCATAAACTAGCAAAAAAATATATCATTAGTATGCAAAAATCAGCACAAAAACAACATGGACGAGCAAGCACAGCCACAAAGAAAAGATAATTTTTTAGCTTTATGCAAACACACCAAAAAGCAATGCAATAGTCACAAGAGAAGGAATAAGAAAATCACCAAAACCACGCCCACCCATCCTTCCAGGCATACCCCTTCCAAAACCTCTACCAGCACCAAAGCCATCAGCACCTTGACTGCAAATCCAAATTGAAACACAAATAACTTCACTGATAGTAGAAGTAAACACATTTCAATGTAACACAACTGAGGATCATCTCACCGCTGCCAGTCCAAAGCTGGAGTATCAATTAACGCCTTAATTCTGTCGTCCTCATCAGCCTTGTTTGTAGGGGCCACATCAGGAGGTGGATTATTAGACTGAGCAGGCAGTACGTCAGGAATGGAATATAAATCATTTCCAAATTCATCCCATTCGTTGTCTTCAGTCTACAACATAAAATAGTACACATATTAACAAACACATTACAAATTCACATTACAAAGAAGCCATGCTAGCATCCAAGCTTACATAATTCATGGCAGATGAATCAGCACCAGTAAAACTACTCTTATCTGGAAGGGTGTCCTCCACTTTATTTTCCAACTTTGGCCTGCAAAATACAACATGGACAAACTCAACCTAGGCCTGAAAATTTGTTCAACCAGAAGCTAAAACAAAATGAAAACCTATTTGTGGACATTGCACTGTAGGATCTATCTATGTCGTTAAGTCAATGACAGCAACCCATTTGAGGATACTGCACCCTTAAAACATGATCCACACAAATGAAGCACAAGAACTCTGGAAATGTTTGGGCTGATATAAATTATGACAGCTCCACAAACCAAACATTTCATGCTCCATCTTTCAAATAACTTGGCCTAAATTAAATAAACTCAATCAAGCGATTAAGAATTTGAAGGTTTGAGATAGTACTCTTGCTCTGTAACAATGGGCAAGCGAGGCCTTCCTGGAACCCGGCGTATTAATACAGAGGTATTTTTGGGAATTAACATTGCTTCATCAAGATATTCTGAAATTGCAAACAAGAGAACAGCAAGGCTATAAAACACTGCAAGAATGATCAATTATAAAGTTTATCGAAAAGCAATCCCAGTTGGTGGAACCAATCATTCATAGTAATAAGAAGTTAGTTTAACAACAAAAACCAACTCAGTCTCAGCCTGAAATTTGATTGATTTTTCACTGCCATGGTAAAGACAGCTCATTCACAAGCAATTGAAAACATTGAGCACAAACTAGCCTTCTCCATATGTGAATCAGTGAGCAAACCCAGGTAATTGAGAATCCAGAATCCAGAAGCAAAGCCCAGAATTAAGAGTTGTATTACTATTAAGTTGGTAATTTAGTTGAAAGACAATCTAAGTAAAAACAATCTATGAATTACCAACCCCCAAATTAGAAAGTTCAACTAGAAAGGAATTAAAACCAACCTTCATTAGTTTGGGCATTAGTAACAAGAAGGTCGAAGTCTGTACCCCTCCCCAAATGCTTTGATTCAAAAATTTTTTCTTTCAAAGTACCAACGGATATAAATGGACCGTCCATTGAGATTGAATCATAATCTCTAGCACTCTTAAATTTGTAATACACAGCCATTGCTTTTTTTTTTCCACTAAATTAATAAAAAAAAATATTATCAGATATCAAAACAACAGCACACACAATAGAAACTAAGAGAAAAAAAATATCAAAGACCTCTCAAAAAACAAGGCCCTGCTATTCAACTCAAAAAAGATGACAATACAAAAAATTGAACTCTCTCTTTTTCTCTATCCTTCTCGAGTAAAGATCAATTAAACCAAACCAACTAATGAGGAACTTCTCTTCGCTGTCTATTCGCTTGGCATGCCTCTTTTCTAGGAAACCTTTCAAAATCGAATCAATAACAAAAAGCTCCTCTCTTTGAGTGCAACCAGAACAATCACAGTCTTGAAACAAGAAACCCCCAGTCGCAATCAAACTCAATCGAACAGTTTCGGGACTTCTTAATGGTAGCTGAAAGATCGCAGAAAAAGCAAAACAAACCCCCAAATTGGTTGATCTTAACAGGGAACTGATTAAATCTGATAAATCAGCCGATCCAAATCTTCAAAACCCGATCCGATTATCCAACAGCAGTCGAATCCTCAATCACCAAGAAAGGAATACGAACTTGAAAACAATCTCCGGTGCCGCGATGATTATCATATAAGGAGATTGGTTAAAGCTTCAATGCGAAAACCCTAAAATCGAGAGATTTAGAGGACTTCTTCGAGAAACCTCATGTGAGGAAGGAAGAAATATAAAGAGTTAGGGTTTGTCGAGCCGAGAGAGAGAGAGAGAGAGAGAGAGAGAGCTCGGTTACGAGGGATTGTTTAGGGATTTGCTGTTTAGAGAGAGAAACTAGGGTATGGGTGTGGCTGTGCAAACGAAGAGAGGATAATGTGCTTTGTTTTGCTTGCGGTGCACGGGTTTATTATTCCTTTATTGGTTTGTTTCGGCTCTCTCGTCTTATATGTGCGGTCAATTGACGCGTTGTTTGGGAGCCTCGGTCTTCTGGATAACGTCTCGGGTTTGCCCATTTTTATATGGATTCCGAACCCAATTCTATTCGCGGGCTCAATTGTTTTCCTTTCTACACGCGAAAAAGAGAGTAATAGTAATTCAAGAATTTTATTCTTTTCTCTCACATAAATATAGGTTTTTTAGGTGATAGAAAAGAATATAATTTTCAGTATACTAAATAATTTTTTAATTTTTTCTCTAATATATTCATCTATAAATTAGTAACAGAACTCAAGTGAAATATTATTGAATTTGCTTGGATAAATTATTGCTATTGGATTTGCTTGACTACATCGTTTATTTTTGCGGATTCAATTTGGTTTGTTTGGTTTTTGGTAATATAAGTTCAGTTTCTAAAGTGATGATTTCCATAAGATTACTGAACAAAAGGACATGAAAATTTAGGAATTTAACTCGAATGCATGTATTAAGCCACATTAGATGTATTAAAACAACATGAAAATTCTAGAATCTGGTTAGTTTAATAAAATTAGAAAAAATATGAGAAAGTGATTGTTTTGTTTGGGTTCATGTTTATATTCTTTAGTTATTTGGTTAATTAGCTATTTGATTAAATGACAAATATGAATGGCTACCAGGTTAGTTTAGGTGGTTAAACAACCACTAAGAGGAGAAAAAAGACACATGTTTTCACACTAAAAAACATAAAATATTCATTAATCAAATAAAATTAATTTATCTTACTATTTTATTTTTGTCTTCCATAATAAACGTTTATCTCTAACCTTAAATATAAACATCTAAACTATATATATTGTCCAAATCCACAACAATATATGTTTTGGTGATAGTATCATCTATTCGATCTCTATGATTTATTCCTCTTCAGTTCTCCATTTTTTATTTTTTTTAATTCATTTATTTGTGTCAGTTTTTACCTAATATATTAATAATTTTATATATTATTAGACTGAGTATGTATTCGTGAAAATTTAATAGTTCTGAAAAATAATAATGAAGGCAATTTCATCAATGATATGCGACTTCTAAAATTTACAAATAATATACACATGAAAAAAATATTGTCATGTGTATATGAATTTATTGATAAAATAGAAAGCTTAGAAACATCCTAACTTCACTTTTTTTTTCTCGTGAGTAAATCCAAGGATGTTACTTTAAATCTCTAAGTTACAATTTACATGATATAATAGACTTGTTTGTAAATTGATGGTTTTAACCAATTAACTTGGTTGAACTTAAAAAAGAAAAAGAAAAAAAAAGGACAATAATTTCCTCTTTCTGCTCATAGTTATAGCATTTTTGGATCTATTCAACCGAGAGAAATAAAAAAGTAATAATGAAGGAAAAAAATATTTTTTTTGTAAACTATATTAATATAGTATTTTCAAATTAAACTACCAATTTATCATTGCATGTAAAATATAAAAAAAAATATCGTTGTTTCTGAAAAAAAAATAAAGAAAAAATTCCATATCAAAATTTTATTACATGTACATTAAGTGTCTAAATATTTATAATTTTGTTTAATTCAATCACCAAACTTTTATGTCAAATATAGATTTTCCACCATATTAATGTGTCTTAAACCTAGGGATGGCAATGAATCGGTATAAAACGGATATCCGTTTTATCCAATCCAATAAATATCCATTAAAAATGTTTAATGGGTATTGAAATACGTGAGGATAAAAAAATGCATCTCACTAATATAATTTCAGGATATGGATATCCACTTTTTACTTTATTAATACCTATTAATTTATTTAGATTTTTTTATTAACATGGAAAGATCTAATTGTATAACATTTAAAAATTAAAGACCAAAATATTTTTTCTAAAAACTTTGAAAACCAAAAAAAACTTGTAAAAATTATCAAAATGTAAAATTTTTAAGGATAAAAAAAAACTTTTCTTAAAAATTATAAGAACTAAAATGAATATTTGTTATAAATTAAATTTAGGGAATATTAAATAGATGGGTAAAATAATATGGGTCAAATATAAGCTAGATAAAGATTTATATTATTATTTAATGGATATGATATTTTTTATGATTAGGATAAAAAATTGAATCAATAAGCCGGGTGATGATCATTCCTACTTACACAGGAAAAAACACTTTAATGTATTTTGAGTGGCAAAAGGAAAGATTATTGAAGAGGTGTATCAAGAGTGGAGCTTTAATGTTAGCAATGCTAAGAATTATGCCCGCTGGTTTTTCTTGGTCTGTGATATCCAGTCTCCTTTCCATTAAAAGGAGTTATTAGTCATTACCTCCTGCATATTTATAAATTAAAAAATGGATTAAAAAAAAATGATGTTGCCTATGACTTTGGAATTAGAGTAAGCATTCATATTTATTTACCACCATCATTTTCTCAACTGTCCTAACCACTTTACCATACAGTAAAGGTGTAACTTAGATTAAAAAAATAAATAAATAAATAAAAAATGAGCCATATTTGACTTTCTCAAGTGTAACATCACCCAAAATTAGCCCAATTTTAAAAAATATGCGTTATGATCTATCACCACATGAGCACATAAATACTTATAGTTATGTAACGATTCTAAATTATTATGGATGGAAGTGAGTTTTTGTACAAATATTTTATTAAAAAAATAATATAAAATTGTTCATGAGATTTTATTTAAGAATTTAAATATTTGAATCAAGATGATTTTTTTGACATAATATTATAATTTTGATAATCAAACGATCACGAGTTTTCTTTCATTTTCTTCTAATTAAAATTAAATAATAATAAACAATTTTTTTTCTTCTTTTAATTAAAATTAAAAAATTAAATACAAACTAATGATGAATGTAATCAAAATAAAATTTCAAACCTAAATAGTTTTTACTTGAAAAAATATATTAGAAAATAATATAAAATTATTAATTAAAATGGATATGGACACATCTACTATTAGATGAGGAAAAGGGTACATCATGCTAGTGGTCTGGATGAATATCCTGGTGGCAGTCACAAAGTGGATTAGAACCTAACACAGCATCTTCAATTTGCATGTTTACACACCAAAAAAGAGTAGGTATTTTAATGTCAAATACTCTTTTTGTTTCAAAGATGTGGCTTTGGTATTAGAGTAGGTATTTCATGTGCGCAGGCAACCACTACAGGTCATCAAATCCATACACGTACATCGTTGCCCTCCTAGGTACTTTTCTCACATCTCGCACAAATAAATGTTGCTCTCCCTCAAGCCTTTTCCTGATGAGAAGTTTTTTTTTTTTTAATCGCAACAACAGATTTGACTGCTCTTTACAAGTACACAATGAATTTTATTGTAGATCAATGCTTATGAACAATGAAGCAAATGACAAATTATGTTCGAAGTCTCTGAAGATGTAATGCCTAACAATATGAAATTTTAAAATATTATCCAATCAAAGCAACAAAGAGTTACCATGGAGCACATATTTTCAGGCAAAATAGAATGCTATAGAAATTAAGAGAAGATAAAGACACTTTACCTTTGTATGAACTCCAAATGGGTTAATAGCATCAAAAGTTTTTTTTTTTTTTTAATGTAACTATTGTATGTTTTTTATTCAACTCCTCTATGTATTTTTTAATGTGGTCCTTCTTACCGAAATCCGATCAATTTTTTGTTTAGAACTGATAGATGGTAAAAAAAAAGTCACATGAAGTGCAAAGTTAGTAATAATTATACGGATGGCTAAAAAACCCAAAATCCCAAAAATTCTAAAATTATATTCGAACAAAAAGAAAAAAAATACCCATGTATAAAAATCAAGTAATTTTCTCTCTCATTTCAATTGATAGAGAGCTAAAGAAACCAAAAAAAAAAAAAAAAAATGTTTTCTCTTATCCTTCCTATCCATTTTTCTCTTCATCTTCTTCGATTCTCTTTGTGTTTGAAAATCTCCTTTAAAAATGAATTATAACCCATTACGACTAACATTTTTCCTTTTGTCGTCTATTATGTACTCAAAACCCCTCAATTCGTTTTAACGCTAAAGCCTTCAAATTGATTTTGCCAATTTTAAAAACCTAAATTAGATCAGTTCATCATCTTCGTCGTCAACGTGTAGAAAATTAGGTGATGGAATTAATTCTCAATGCTTTACTACCAACGAATTTGAGGAAGACATATTATGTTTCATTTATGTAGCATCATTACAAACCCCTGAATTGAATTATGAAAAGCTTGTTATGACATGTCATTGTGGTTTAAAGACCGCAAGGTGGGTGTTATAGAGTGATAAGCATCGAGGATCCAAGTTCCATCTTTGTACTATATGGTTTGCCCACAAAGATAATAAAAACCTAAATTAGATCGAGTTCATCATCTTCGTCGTCAACGTGTAGAAAATTAGGTGATGGAATTAATTCTCAATAAAAAATTTTTTTATCAACATGGAAAGATCTAATTGTATAACATTTAAAAATTAAAGACCAAAATATTTTTTTCAAAAACTTTGAGAACCAAAAAAACTTATAAAAATTATAAAAATGTAAAATTTTTAAGGACCAAAAAACTTTTCTTGAAAATTATAAAAACTAAAATGAATATTTTTTATAACTTAAATTTAGGGAATGTTAAATAGATGGGTAAAATAATATGGGTTAGATATAAGCTAGGTAAAGATTTATATTATTATTTAATGGATATGATATTTTTTATGATTAGGATAAAAAATTGAATCAATAAGCCAGGTACCCATCTATTGTCATTCCTACTTACACAGGAAAAAACACTTAAAATGTATTTTGAGTGGCAAAAGGAAAGATTATTGAAGAGGTGTATCAAGAGTGGAGCTTTAATGTTAGCAATGCTAAGAATTATGCCCGCTGGTTTTTCTTCCAGTCTCCTTTCCATTAAAAGGAGTTATTAGTCATTACCTCCTGCATATTTATAAATTAACAAATAGATTAAAAAAAAAAAAATTGACGTTGCCGATGACTTTGGAATTAGAGTAAGCATTCATATTTAGTTACCACCGTCATTTTCTCAACCATCCTAACCACTTTACCATACAGTAAAGGTGTAACTTAGAATAAAAAAAAAAAAAAAAAAAGGAAAATGAGCCATATTTGACTTTCTCAAGTGTAACATCACCCAAAATTAGCCCAATTTAAAAAAAAAAATGTGTTATGATCTATCACCACATGAGCACATAAATACTTGTTATAAATTATTATGGATGGAAGTGAGTTTTTGTACTAATATTTTATTAGAAAAATAATATAAAATTATTTATGAGATTTCATTCAAGAATTTAAATATTTAAATTAAGATGATTTTTTGACATAATATTATAGTTTTGATAATCAAACGATCGAAGCTTTCTTTCCTTCTCTTCTAATTAAAATTAAATAATTAAACATAAAATAATAATAAATAACTTTTTTTTCTTCTTCTAATTAAAATTAAATACAAATGAATGATGAATGTAATTAAAATAAAATTTCAAACCTAAACAGTTTTTACTTGAAAAAATATATTAGAAAACAATATAAAATTATTAATTAAAATGGATATTGACACATCTACTATTAGATGAGGAAAAGGGTACATCATGCTAGTGGTCTGGATGAATATCCTGGTGGCAGTCACAAAGTGGATTAGAACCTAACACAGCATCTTCAATTTGCATGTTTACACACCGAAAAAGAGTAGGTATTTTAATGTTAAATACTCTTTTTGTTTCAAAGATGTGGCTTTGGTATTAGAGTAGGTATTTCATGTGCGCAGGCAACCACTACAAGTCATCAAATCCATACATGTACATCGTTGTCCTCCTAGGTACTTTTCTCACATCTCGCGCAAATAAATATTGCTCTCCCTGAAGACTTTTCCTGATGAGAAGTTTTTTTTTTTTAATCGCAACAACAGATTTGACTGCTCTTTACAAGTACACAATGAATTTTATTTTAGATCAATGCTTATGAACAATGAAGCAAATGAAAAATTATGTTCGAAGTCTTTGAAGATGTGATGACTAACAATATGAAATTTTAAAATATTATCCAATCAAAGCAACAAAGAGTTACCATGGAGCACATATTTTCAGGCAAAATGGAATGCTATAGAAATTAAGAGAAGATAAAGACACTTTGCCTTTGTATGATCTCCAAATGGGTTAATAGCATCAATTTTTTTTTTAATGTAACTATTGTACTTTTTTTATTCAACTCCTCTATGTATTTTTTAATATGGTCCTTTTTATCGAAATCGATCAATTTTTCGTTTGGAACCGATAGATGGTAAAAAAAAAAAAGCCACATGATGTGCAAAGTTAGTAATAATTATACGGATGGCTAAAAAACGCAAAATCCCAAAAATTCTAAAATTATATTCGAACAAAAAGAAAGAAAAATACCCATGTATAAAAATCAAGTAATTTTCTCTCTCATTTCGGTCGATAGAGAGCTAAAGAAACAAAACAAAAATTGTTTTCTCTTATCCTTCCTATCCATTTTTCTCTTCATCTTCTTTGATTCTCTTTGTGTTTGAAAATCTCCTTTAAAAAATGAATTATAACCCATTATAGCTAACATTCTTCTTCTTGTCGTCTATTATGTACCCAAAACCCCTTAATTCGTTTAACACTAAAGCCTTCAAATTGATTTTGCCAATTTTAAAAACCTAAATTAGATTAGTTCATCATCTTCATTGTCAACATGTACAAAATTAGGTGATGGAATTAATTCTCAATGCTTTACTACCAACGAATTTGAGGAAGACATATTGTGTTTCATTTATGTAGCATCATTACATACCCCCGAATTGAATTATGAAAAGCTCGTTATGAGATGTCACCGTGGTTTAAAGGCTGCAAGGTGGGTGTTATAGAGTGATAAGCATCGAGGATCCAAGTTCCATCTTTGTCCCATATGGTTTGCCCACAAAGATAATAAAAATTTTGGGTGTGGTTATTGGGTATGGAAGGATGATTTCATAGAAGACAAAGCCGGATTATTGTTTTGGAGATGAGAAATAGACGGACAAATTTATACGAGAGACAAATTTGTTGCTTTGCAGGAAAACAATAAATTACTTGTGAAGATTGGAAGGTTAAAGAATAGTTAGATTCTGTTTTGATGAACAAAAAAGTTGTTGATTGAGATAGCAACATAAAAAGTAGAGAAAGAACATATGATTTTGTCGATAAAAATATTAAGCAATTATAATGAGAAATTGTTGAATTTCTATAAAATAGGATTGATTTTAATTTTAATTGTGTTGTTTGCTTGTAAATTATAATGATGTTTATGGAATGACATTTAATTGATTGTGTTATTCTTTTATTTGTGTTGAATTTACTCTTGAATTTGGTTTCAATTTGTGTTAATGGCCAAAACATGTCTTAAGGTCAGTTTGCATGAATGGTCTTGAATTTCTATTGAATTTTGCTACGAGAATAATCTTGGATTTGTAATTGGCCAAAACATGCCTAAAATGTTGTTTGTAGCAACTTGTTGTTCAAATAGTCTTGAAATTTCGTTGAATTTTACTATAATATTGGTCTTGAATTTGTGTTGTGCATGGCCAATTCCGTTGAATTTTTTGTTGAAATATTTTGAGCAAAACTTTTTTACCAAGTCATGATTTTGCCTTAATGTTTTGGCCATTTGCACACAATCTCTTGTTTGGCTTGTCTTCACATATTAGACATCAAGTATTGAGTAAAAAATTAAAATCAAAACACAAGTAAACAATAATCATATGATTTTAGCAAATCGGAAGAACCATCCAACAATAATTTATAAAATATAGCTCCGGTAATAATTTGCAAAATACATTACTCATTAGGCGAGAATTTTTCCTTGTTCCTACCTACTTAAGTTCCACAATGCATAAAAGATTAATTCATTCTATCCTTTTTTACAACTTACGGACATGATATTGTTAACAAAATTCACAACAACTACCCACATACATCACATTCTTCCACACCAATTACCTAGATGAATAACATGATTCTCTTGAGTTCTAATTTCAATTTTTTTTTCGATTAGAACTTCTTAGTGTTTTTAGATCTTTACTTTTTGGCGATGTTATTAATTTACTTGTAAAGTGTCCGGACTACAAACATAAATCATTCAATGTCAACTTAAAAAAAATTAATAACTCTAAATTGCTTAAGTTAAACAACAACCCAACACTTACATAAAAAAATCATGCAACTTGACTAAGCAATAAAACAACCTTTCAACTTTAGGTTTCTTGGCCTTTTTATTACTTGATGCTGGTCTTGAGAGTTACATTGCGAAAATACCTTCATCAACATTTTTATACCTTTTGGCGATAGATATAGTAAAAAGAGATTTGGCTCTAGGTTCAACTTGAGGAACTTCATCAACAACTAAACTTGTTCTTATTTTGTCGGTAGATGTCTTGTTTAATATATTGGCGCAACCTCTCTCGTATGAATAGAAGTGACATCGAGTGTTTGTATCTTCTAATATAACATAACATTAATACATAATTGTAATATTAAAAAAAATTAAAAGACCTTAAATTAGTATAGAGAAAACATTTTTTTTTAGCTCATACACCCAAGGCTCTTAACGGAACTAGGCTACTAAGATTTGAACATGTGATTTCTTGTTACAAGAGACCATTACAACTAGGGTATAAGCTTTTTGGTTAGTATAAAGAAAACATTTACCTTTCCTTTTTTCACTCTTAAGTCATGCATCTCAACTTTTTCATTTTGATTTTGTATTTGCAATTGAAATATCCTAAATTTAAATAGACGAGTTTGTTATTATCATTGAGTAATTGGATTATGCAATGTTGATCATAAACAAAAAATGTATAATCATAAAATTTCATACCTTTCGCTTGGGATTTTCATGGCATATCTTACTTGTCATGACCTTATTTAAAACACATTTAGCACGTTATTTTCCTCTCTCTTTTTTTGACAAATTAGTACCGTTATGTTCTCCCCATTCTTCTCTTCTCTCTCTCTCTCTCTCTCTCTCTTGTCTTTCGGACATCTTAACAACTTTTGGAAGGTCAATTGGTGGCAATCCAACTCTTGGCTATAACTTTTTCCCTATTAACGGAGTTCAATGAATTATTAATAAGACTTTACGGACCTTTCTTTTGAATACCACTCATGGACAAAGTCTTCAAATCTTTATCTTTTTAACTTAATTATAAATAATGCATGCTCACAATGGATACCTGCTATATCTCACCTCCTAAAAGTTCACCTCTTATTCTCTATGTTCACGATAAACATGTAATCCTCATATACCCAATTTACCTCATAACCTACTGTCATTTTAGAATACCTAAAATCATCACTCATTTTCCTATTTTTTTCAATTATTTTCCAAATTTTAGGTCCAAACGGACCTTTAAACATCTTCTTAGCAAACGAGTCTTTTAGAAATCATCTTTTCCGTAACATACATTCTAATTTCTTCTAGCATATTGATAATGCTCTTAAACCTAGCTTCGGTTATACCCTCATTAAATGTCTCGCACATGTTATTATCTACCACATCACACTTGGCATCGAGTCTAAAATAAGCCCTACTGACACTAATTAATCGAGATCTTTTCAAAATATTTCTTTGTATCAAGCTTGATCCCCTCCAACATTTTCAAATCTTCTTTTAAGTCCTAGGGTGTTGTGTTTTTACAATATTTTCGGTACAATTTATGAAGCTCTTCTTGGGTATTCGTCAAAGTAGCAATAGATGTGTCTAGCACATCTCCTATGTTCCATGCCTAAAAACAACTTTGTTGTAGCACTAAGTAAGCCTTAGATCAATAAATATGATTATCAAATAAACTTAGTCAAAAACACTTTAACAACGATCACAACCTAATATATTTAAAACTTAAGGTAACAAATGTATTTTATTTAACGATTACATAAAATTAAAATTTAAAGCAATGCATCGCCTTATGAGAATCTTACATAAAGGTCCACCCATGTCCGAGACCCATTAGAATTTTTAGATCTACCATAACTTAAAGTAAGAACCAATTTCATGTTTCCTTTGTTCCTTTCATTACAATAGCCCAAGAAAAAAAAATATGGTTGTTTGTATCTCTCTCCTTAGCCACTACAATTCCCCCTTCAAGAGGTCCTCTTAAGGAAACAACCATCCAAACTTATAATCCTCCTATAACCTTCTAAAAGAACATCTTTCAATGCTTTAAAGTCAACATATATCCTTTTAAACATTCTGAAATCCTCATCACATTGAAGGATAATACTATTTCTATAATTATTGCCCTTAATTCTACTATATAATCGTCAAGTTTATCAAATTCAAACTTCACATTATCTTCGATCTCTAGTTTGCACTAGTTTTTAGTATGCTTGAGCAAATGTTTAAGAGATCTCCAAACTAAAATCCTTCTTAACTACCTCAATAATTTTCTTCAAAGTCATTTTCAAACAAATCCTACTAAATTTATGAATTAAATGCTTACCTAGAACTTTATAAATCAACATATTATTATTGTACATAGTATCTGCAAGTATACTCTGTCTAACTAGTTTTCAAATTTGCCATGTGGAGAACAAAAAAAATTCCAATCACATTCCTCGTCTTTGAAGACTCGCTCTAACCTTTTTCTTGTCATTTTTCTCAAGTTTGACATTCCTCCTATGCTTCAAAGCATACTTAGTCACCTGCATCGATAAACTACTTCTTTTTCACTAATATCATTCCAACCTAAAGATATGGACCGGTTGTGGTAGGATCGAAAAACATTTTTCTAGATTTTTTTTCTTCTCTTATGATTCTCATTATCGTCATCACTACTTATCTATACTAACTTTTGATGCTTCTATTGTTTCAATCTCTTTTATAAGTACATTCAT